CCGGCGGATGAAGTTGAGGAACGATGGGACGAAGTAAGAAAGTGTGGGGAGAGCAAGAGGAGAGTCAGTGAGAGAGAAGCGGCCTGGCCGTATGTTACGCTGAGACCGTATGTATGTATGTATGTATGGTTGGGCCGAGCGCATGAGACCGAAAGAAAGCGGGCAAATTCTCCCGCCGTCACCACATCCCACCTTCTCCTCCTCCTCTTCCTCCCTTTGACTTCTCCTCCTAACATCCTCACTTCTTCCACCCCCAAAAGTCTTACCACGTGCAGTTTGTTATTCTCCGGTTTGACCTGGTCATACAATCCTCAACCGGTGCAATTTTGAGCAAACTTTCAGCGACCTCCAAAGGTATGCTTCCGTTCGCGACAATATGACTCCTCCACCTTCTAACACTGTGCGTGCCTGACTAGAAAGCAATTGGAGCTTGTCAAGACCTTTAAGCCTGCCTGTCAACTCAATACGAGACCTTTACGTGGTTAATAGCAACCATGCCGTCCACTTCCGCGGCCCTAACGCCTGGATTGGCGTCGTTCCTCAAGTCCTTGAAGACGAATCCGATTGATACATCGATTGACGATCTGATCTCGTGCGTCCTCGACGTCATATCACCGCGTGTCGCAGCAGCTCGTGCAACATACTGACCAGCCTCTAGGCTTCTGAAACGCAGACAGATTCGCCATTCCAGATCATGCGCGACCGCAACCGCCTACCTCCTGCGCAGTGTTATCTCAGCTACTCGGACTTCGGATGCAAACAAGATGATCGAGCGGGTCCAGCATGTGGGAAGGCGCGTGATGGCCGCTCAGCCCAGGGAAATGGTGGTCGGAAATATTGTCAGACGTGTGCTCGGATTGATCCGTGATGAAGCGGAAGACGACAGAGAGGCCGACTTCACTCTGAGTGAAGCGGGCTCGGAGAGCCAGCCTCAGACCCCTCGTGCCTTGGATGGTCAGTCCTGTTTTATAACACATCGAACCAGGATTATGCAAAAGCTAACCCACAGCGCCGTTTGTAGACCCCTCCGAGGTTCTCTCTTCTCGCCATGAAGGTTCCGACCGGTCATCCTCGAGACAGCCTTTCACTTCGCTGTCAGCTACACCCATTTCCATGTTCAGTCTCCTCTCACACCCAGAGCCTGAGTCGTCTCTGCCTGGCACCCCGGCCTCTGCGTCTCCGTCTGGCCGCCTACTGGGCCAAAGTCACAACAAAGACATCCGTGCCGAAGTCCTGGACGGTATCAACGAAATTATCGATGAGTTGGGCCAGGTAGACGACCAGATTGCGGCCTACGCCCTGGAACACATTCACTCCAACGAAATCATCCTGACACACACATCCTCAACTACCGTCCAGAAATTCTTGCTCAAGGCTGCGGCCAAGCGCAAGTTCACCGTGATCCATGCCGAATCTTATCCCAACAACCATGAAGCGACCCATGCCACTGTCAGCGGACAGGCCCCCAAGGACGACGACATTCTGAGCACCGAGGCTTTCCAGAAACCTTTGATCGCCCTGGGCATCACTGTTATCCTGATCCCTGATTCCGCAGTCTTCGCGCTCATGTCCCGTGTCAACAAGGTCATCTTGGGCACGCACTCGGTTCTTGCCAACGGCGGATTGGTGGCTGCGGCAGGCACGCGGGTCATCGCTCGCGCGGCCAAGGTGCACCAGACCCCCGTGGTCGTTGTGAGCGGTGTCTACAAGCTCAGCCCTGTCTACCCATTCGATTTCGACTCGCTGATCGAGTATGGCGATGTCAGCAAGGTTATTGGATACGAAGACGGTGACCTGGTAGACCAGATTGACGTGCAGAACCCGCTGTACGACTATGTCCCTGCGGAACTTGTCGATCTTTACATCACCAACCTGTAAGCTACCATTCCTTTTGCCCCGTTTCATCTGCAGAACTGACAAGCATTATAGGGGAGGTCATGCGCCGTCTTACCTTTACCGTATTGTCTCGGACCACTACCGCAAGGAGGATATCAATGTCTAATGGTTTTGAGGATTATGGAAATGGAAATGAATCAACATATGAACAAAAGCTCAAGGGAATGCAGATGGCTGCAATATGACATGCAAAAAGTTCGGCTATAGATGAGTAAGGCGTAAGGGCATAGACAATGGAACGCAACGATACCCGCGGAGATACTAGGATAATCTTTATGAATGAGATCAGTCCTTATCGATTGATGCATCCAACCAACGTAGATAGTCCACGCGTTCTAGATCAGCGAATTGTAGCAAACTTAAAAATTTATTAAATTTACGAAACAATTACGACAAGAGCTAGACTCATTTTTTTGAAGGATTTGAATTTTAGGGCCCTCCCAAAGAAATAAATCATGGCGCCATCTTTTATGGATATATCAATCGTAGTACGCTGCAAATGGTATTTATTTTGCAGGGTCTCATCCGTCCTGAACCATCAATTCCAGACCATAGACTTGTGTTTGCTTTGCCTTTGCCCCGAAGCTTCTTCCATGGAATGGGCCCCCTTCCACCCCGCTAATAGCATCTTTATTAAATTCCCCAGGGTTTGGGTTATTTAAGAGCGGGGCTTCTCCTTCTTCTCCTTCCAGAGAGCGAGCAGACCGACACCGGAAACCTTGACGACCTTGAAACGGACACCGGGAATATCACCCTTGGCCTTGCCCTTACGACCGAAACCGGCGAGGAGGACCTCGTCGTTCTCATCGATGAAGTTCAAGCAACCATCGTTGGGGACTATACAGGAAATATGTTAGCCAATCGATACCCTCTTAAAGAATATGCGATATTTCCCGTTTGCCACTCCGTCCTTTATTCCCTTCTCCTTCTTCTGCTCCATTCTCCGCACAATATCCCATCACAAAATCCCCAAACCATAAACATCCATCACAACCGGGAAATAGAAAAAGAAAAGGATAGGATCACCCACCGAAAGCGGTAACCTTCTTGCCGTTCTTGATGAGCTGGACCTTGACACACTTGCGAATAGCGGAGTTGGGCTGCTTGGCCTCAACACCGACCTTCTCAAGAACGATACCCTTGGCGTGGGAGGCACCTCCGAAGGGAGAGGACTTGTAGGCAGTACCGAGGAGGCGCTTCTTGTAGTGCAGATCGGCCCAGCGGTTCTCGCGACGGGTGGTCGCGAGCTTGCGGGCGGCGTTCAAACCACGGGGCTGTCCCTTACCCATCTTGTCGGATTATGTTCGAAGGAGGGTGAACTGTAGAGCAAGAATTTCCGTTAGAATTATGTATTTTCCAATATATGGGTGGTGTTCGGAAGAAGCTGAAGTTGCAGGGTTCTGGTGGCGGACATGATGCGGATTTCAAGATTCGGGGTTATATAGGCGGACTTTGTGCGTAGGGAAATTTCTCGTGTCTTTTTCTTTTCTTTTCGCAACCAGGGAAGATCGACTGGTGATATAAATTCACAATAGGGGGTCTCTATACGTACCGAACTGATGGATAAAATTGGCTGGATGGGCGGATGGTTGTCGAAAGTCGAAGGGGGGGTTCGCTTTCACGGCCGGCGGTCGCTCGACTAGATCGAAAATGTTCTGCTGTGCGGCTTCGCCCTAAACGGCCGCTAAGCGAGGCACGGGACTCGGGCTGGGTCGGAGTCGGAGAAACTTCGGCCCTCTCCTCTCTTTGTGTCGTTCTCCCCGTGGTTCCTGATAACGATAAGGATGTTGTCACTACTTGCTATCTACTCACCACCACGTTTCTTCTTTTCTACCTATATTGTTAAGATCCAATTGCGGTCCTATTCGCATTATAATGTCTAATTTATAGCTCAAAGGATAGCAAAGGATTATACTGCCAGTCATGGATCCTACCCTCAGAATGGATCCCAAGATGGATCCTAAAATGGACACCAGGAAGATAAGTGCCCAGCGTCTTCCCCCGCCTGTCCTCTTCCAGGGCCCGCCGTCACATAATGCCTCCAATCTCTCTCTTCCCCCGCCAGTATCTGCTGTTCCGTCGACGGGAGTCTCTCCGCGGCCGCCTTTGCAACGCAATCGCTCGTCCCGGGCGGGAACCCTCGAGGCCCCGGGGTCCCTTTCGCCATTCCTGACTCGCAAGCAGTCCAAGGGGGAGGTGGATGGCTCCGAGGCCATATGGCAGGAGATGCAGAGCGCATTGTCCGAGGTCGAGCTGAGCGCGGCAACGGGCGAACATGTTTTTGGGGAGAAGCACTCCGAGGCGCTGGAAGATCTCCGGACAAAGCAGCTGAAGCTTGCGCAGGCGTGGGCACGCAGCGAAGCCGGAGACGAGGTTGTGGAGACAAAAGGTGCTGTTGCCGCTGCTGCTGCTGCCACGGCAAAGAGTAATGCGTCGCTGCGACCGGCGTCGCGAAGCACGGCTGGGCCGGGCGATTCTGCTAATCCTGAGGATGGATCTTCGCGGAATCTGGATGAGGAGACGGAAAAGGATATCCTCCTCGCACGGGAGAGACGGGAGGCTAATGATCGATACTTTGACCGGGTTAATAATGGTGTCTTGGATGTGGTGGCTAAGCTAGAGGAAGTCGCTCAGGCTATGCGCGCGGTGGAAAGAGAGAGCAAAGATATCTGGAGCGATACCGATAGCATGAGTACAACGACGCAGACCACGACTGATACTGGGTGAGCTAGGCTGTTGGCTCTGAAGCGTTCGTTCCATGTTTCCATGCGGACTGCGTGATAGCCCTCTGTATAAGAGAGCGAGGCGACTAGCCCACTGACAGTGGATGTGGATTGCTGCCAACGCGGCATACACTTGCCCAGGTACCAGCAATCGCAAGACAATCGCATCAAGTCTGCGACAATCCGCTATCACATTCCACCACATAGGCGGCAACAACCTCTTAACAAGCCCTCCTCCATGAACCTAGCAAACACTATCAACCAGAGAAAAACCAGAAACCGTAGCATTATACCGCTAGTCAAACAAATCAAAGCTAAAGAAAAATTTATATGAACAAAACCAAGAGGGTATCTGAAACTTCATCTCCATCAAGCCCACACCCACATCAGCACCTAACACAAACCATGAATAAAAGGCAGGATCAGGACAAGTATTCATCTACTCCTTCTTCACCAACCTCATCACCGTCTTCCACCCCTCCACAGCCGTATCCCGCGCATCCTCCCACCGACTCTCATACGCCTTCCTCGCCAACGTCTCGACCTCCTGGTTCCAGCGATGTTTCAAAAAGTCCTTCAAGGCGGGTTTCGTTGCCCGGTCTTCTTGCTCACCCGGACGCTTCTGGGTCTCCTGAGGCAGTAAGCGACGGTCGTATGCGCCTGCCGATGAGGCCAGCCAGTTCAGCGCACGGGTTTGTTCGCGAATGGCATTGCGCTGTTCCAGGCGATTGGCTTTGTGTACTTGGAGTGAGATGTACAGGACGGAGGTGGTGAGGGCAAAGCCGCTGAACTGATATGGGTGTAAGTTCTGGTGGTTCGGTTTGTATACGAGGAGGTGGATGGAGTTGAAGGGATGGATGTAGAATGGATAGATGGATGGATGGGTGTTAAAGAGAGGAAAGGTAGAATGGAGACTTACGAAGCCAGTGAAGAAGCCCATGCTATCTCTATTTTCGAATAATAAGACTTAATATTCACAGATGGCTTGACAAGAGCCAAATTAGAGGATGTCGAGATTGTTAGATTGTACAGATGAAAGCGGGGGTACTGCAGAGCCCTTGCGGACAATCAGACAATCGGGATCGATTGAGATGGAACGACAAGAAGATCGGTCTGGTCTGATGTGATCACCAAGCGGAGATGGGACAAAACGGATCTGCCCAACTTTTCAAATGTCACTGTACAGTTCAGGCAAAAGAGAATCCCCAATCGTAAGACGCAAAATGGCTCAATGGGATCGAAGGAAGGAAGTTCAAGATGTTCTCAAACGGAGGAGAAAGTCGGGGCTGCCGTACCCGCACTCCGATTGGCTACGCGGCGAATCGAATCTTTCCGCCATCTCCATCTCCAGCTTCATCTTTCCCTCTGAACGACGACGAAAACAACCGGCGACTCCTGATATCCCATTGCCCCTTACCGGTTTCAATCCCTTTCGGTCTTTTCGACTTGATCCATCCGATCCCACCGCCTGGCCTCGAAGCCAACATATCCCATTCATCAACACAACCTCCCGAAAAGACACCCATTCTTAAACCTCCCTCACCACCACCAACACTATGGCCGGAGGTGCTACCAAGTTCCGCCATTTGAGCCGCAAGTCCTCCCACAGACAGGCTCTGCTCCGCAACCTCGTCACCTCCCTCTTCCAGCATGAATCCATCACAACCACATGGGCCAAGGCCAAGGAGGCGCAACGACTGGCCGAGAAGTTGATCACCCTGGGCAAGAAGAACACCGAAGCCAGTCGGAAACGCGCATTGTCGACGTTTTATGTATGACGCAGTCCTTATCTTCTCTTTCTCAAACACATACATACATACCGTGGAGAACATACGATAGAGGAAAGCGAACATTCTCAACTAACCAAGGAATAATAGACCCCCCACGAGCTCCTCCCCAAACTCTTCGGTCCTCTTCGTGAACGCTACGCCGAACGCCCCGGTGGCTACACGCGAGTTCTGCGCGTCGAACCCAAGAAGGACGATCAAGCCGCCAGCGCAATCCTGGAGTTGGTAGATGGACCTAAAGATATGCGGTTTGCTTTGACGGCGCGGACAGTTGCTAGGCAGCGGTCTCAGGGCCTGGAGACCCTCAATGAACTCACTACGATGAATGTCAATAAGGTCACACGGTTCCGGAAAGGAGGGATTGCTGATCTGGAGAGGGAGATCAAGCGGTTAGAGATCACGGGTCACGGGAAGGAGGACGCGGGGAAGGCGAAGCCTGCGAAGCAATAAAATGATGAATGAGTGGGTGAGTGAGTGATGGGTGTGGTAGTGGTGGCCTAGTTGGCCTTTATATTGTGTATCTTTATTATTCCTTCACCTTCACTGTTGTGTGCTTGGGCCCTGTGTTTTGGCTAGTCATGATTGTGTAATTTTAGCTGTTATTTCCCCCTGTAGTGTCGTGTATGTAGATTGGACCGTTCCTCCCCAGTCATCGAGATTATCTCAGGAAGTGTAGACTACTTATTACATCTATTAACAAGATACTAGCACTTGGTGTCATACAGTTTATTTATCTAAGCACTATCGCCTGCCCTTCCCAAGCCAGCAAGATCTAGCAAACATAGCAATGCTCAAAGTACATCGAAGTAATTCAGGTTTCCAACCAAGTCCCGAACGCCCACGAAATCCCAGTCGTCGACCGCGAGGGGTTGGGCGGCGCTGACAGGACCTTGAAACCCAGTTCCCACTCATCAAATCATTCCTCTCTCCGACTAACGATGCGACGCTGATCACAACAAACAGTTCCTGTGTCTAATCTTCCAGAGATACAGAACGGCCACGTCAGGAACCTTGCCACCAGCGACACATCACGCCAACATTGAACCATATGTACTTTTGTAGAAAGCAGTCAAGTAGTAGTATCACTCTAATGAAGAGAAGCTTAGTCTGCCGTAGGCAGGAGCAACTTAATTTACCCGTGGCAGACTTGCTCCGCCAGAAACAACAAGCGGCCCGTTCTTGGTGGCGGGGAGCGTGTTGCCTGAGTAAGGATGCGTCGAGCTGGGCCCACTGCGCGGTTTCAAGTCAAAGTCAGAAGGCACCTCGGACGGTGGTGGCTTGGGTGGCAGGTGTGACGGTGTCCCCCATTTCGCAATAGAGTCTCTGCTTCCCGAAGGCCCACCGCGGGTCGGGCCATGTCCAACTGAACCAGGCATGTCTTGAGCCTTGCTGTTCATATCTTGAAATCCGGACCACTGGGGCTGCATACCCGGTTGCATACCGGGATATGGGTTCATACCATGCTGGTTGCCCTTGCTGGGGTGCCGTGCTAACGCCGCACCACCAGGGACAAACGAGCGGGTCTGTGGATTGAAAGGCGACCTATTGAAGCTTCCGGGCAAAGGGTGAGCACCGCCGTGACCCTGCATGCCCGGACTCATGGGCTGTCCGGGATACTGAGCATAAGGATAAGAAGTTGGTGTAGGAGGCTGCGTTTGATAGCCGGCCCATCCCGATGGGGGAGGATTGCGATGTGATGGTTGTGGATAGCCGCCGGCATAAGGTGGCGTGGACCAACCAGGATTGGGTTGATATTGGACGGAGTTTGGCATAGGATAACTGCCCAATGCAGGAGACGACTTAGTGGATGCCATCGCGGGCGACTGGTTGATGGTCGCATAACCAGAGTAGGGGGACTGTTGTGGCACAGGGCCATTCTGCCATGGGCCACTAGGAGTCATCTGAGGCGACACAGGCATCGAATAATGCGGCATAGCATTCAAGTTCACGGGCCCAGAATACATTGGACTAGCCTGGCCACCATGACCGTAGCCCATAGTAGGGGGCGACACACCGGGTCCCACCATGCAAGGTTGGGTTGGAAAAGACGGGTCATTGACAGGCATGCCGTAGGGCATGGGTCCGTTGGCATAAGGCATTCCTGGATAATACGCGTTGAACTGAGATCGAACCTCAAAACTGTCATCGTGAGGAGTTTTCTGTCGGTGCGCCTTTTTGCGTCCACTTGTTGAGCTCGAGCGTGACATATTGGTACCGGAATCGCCATTGGCGTTCTCGGAACTTTTCGACTCGGTAAAATCACGGAAAATCCGCTCCCTAGCTTCCTGGTACTTGGCTTCCCTCTCTTCGCGGGTCAAGGTCAACCTGTCCTTTGCCGGGGTAGATCCCCTTTCCCCGTCATTTCCACTGTCCCCCGCTTCGGACCCGTTCTTAGACGGAGCGGAGGAGCTTGCCGCGATGCTACCCTCGGTGGAAGGCCGCTCACTATCAGTACGGCGCATGATCTTCATGGCAGGCATGGCGGGAGGCGGAGTACTATTAGTCGCAGCGTGGAGAACTGAGAGAGGCGTGGGGCTACAAAGGTTAGCACAAGTCAACTATAAAAGAAGTGAGCATCGCAGCGCAGACTTACAGCCGACAAAAAGGCGTCCGGTGAAGCCGGACGGACGTGACGTTATTGTCAACGAAGTGCGTCAGATGGTAGTAATCGCCCAGCTTGTGTGCAAGGAGCCGCCCAAAAGCGTTCGAAGGCGGGAGTTCCAAAGAGTGCTCCCTAGGAAATCGTCAGAATATTAAACTCAGGACCACGAAGGCAGCACGGTGGGCCGACTTACTTAGAATTTTGTATAAAGTATCGGACCTTTTCTTCCAGTTGAAGAATCAAGAGGCGGTCTTTGGGGGACTTCATAGCCTCGAGGAGTTTCTCGTCGGGCTCTGACGGGAACCCATGTATAGGCCGTCCTGCTTGGAAAGCATCGGCGTTCGCGTAATTGTTGGCGACAGTGTCTGGCAGCATGGCACCATTCGTGCGCTGTATACCATCATTGAAGATAGGTACCGTCGGCTGGAGGATTCCCCGAGGTCTCTGTATGAATCCGCGGGCACCTGACTCTGACCCTGTCAATGAATTGGGGGCACCGGAAGCGTGCCCAGATAGAGACTCCTCCTCATCAATAGCCTGAACGCTCGCACTGTCATCCGGACGCAAAGAATCTTTTTCGTCCATTGCGAATGTCGTCACAGAAGCCATGCTCTTAGAGTCGAAGCTCGTGGGCTTGGTAGAGGAGTTGGAAAGATGGGTACGATCGTCCTCAAACGAGTTCTCTCGTTTCAGAGAACCGTTGTCTGCAGCCTCAGTGGAGAACACAGGACCGTCGTGGTACTTTCTGTCATCGATGCTGACACCATGCACGGCCTGAGATAAACTGTCGACGTTTCGATCATCAGCGGCAGCCTCGTTTCGGACAGGGGTCGGATCTCCCTGGTTGGAGGGGACATTTTCCGAGCCACGTTGTTCGGAACATGATGATGGGTTGTCGACGGACTGTGGGCCGTTCAATTCGTCAGATGATACGGGGGCTTCCGGATTTGATGGCGGAGGCATGGCCGCAATCTGCTCAAGCGGGTCAGCAAGAGCCCGCCGTTGGCCGACCAGCAACGCAGCACCTACCTTTGCAAAGGAAAGACGATGCTCGTCTCTTGTGGAACTCTTGGATGCCATTATTCCCTGACTCTCTGAGCCAAACGTCCAGGGTTCTTGTAGCGTAATTCCTTCCGCTGAAGCAATAAACGATCGGATACGGACGGATTGAATAAGGGGAAAACCCGACGAGAGACTGCAGTCTGCCCGCTCAGGTGTTGACGAAGAAAAAGCCGAAATGAATATCGATCAAAAGCCACTCAAAGATCCCACTTCACACAAGCCCAAAAAGAAAGACGGCACATATCTGGAAAACGGAGGTCGCCATAAGGAAAGCTGCTTCGACGTCAGATCCGGTCGGAATGTCACAAAGCCGTGCTCTGTGAGAAGCGGGGTGGAGATTGGCTGATCAGGAGCCGGAATACGGGAGGATGCAGGCAAGCAGGCAGACCAAGAGAGGAAGGGAGAGAGAAAACTGCTCTTACACGATGGTCAGAACGATTGGCTCATGGCTTTCGATATGCAACACTTGTCTTTGGGGGGGAAGAGGAAGGATTCCAGAGGGAGGAAATGAGGTTTCCTTCCACCAACGGGGACGATCAGGACACGAACCAAGCCAGTCGAAGAAAAGTAGGGAGTGGGAGTCGTGACGGAAGCGCCCTTGGACTTCCACTAACACCGGAGGGCAGGTTTGGGGGGAGAAAGTGGATGTGGATGGGGAGTGGGTAAAGGGCAGGCCGACGATGCTGGACCGGCTTTTTGATCTTTTGGGCTGAGAAGGAACGAGCAACGCTTCAAGTCAATCGGGCGGGTTTCGCTTGGCTCCTCCTTCGTGGGCCGCCGCCCGCGCTTAGCCGCGCGCCTAACCTAGTCGGCCCGGCCCACATTCTGCCTGCGACAGCCGCGGGGGGGAAAGAGCTTGGGTTTGGGATATCCAGGCTGATTTCCAGGCGTGCGGGGATCTTTTGTCATTTGTGCTCTTGTGTTTCGGTCAGGCAGTCGATCCATAGCTCCTTTTTTTTTGACTCCGCTACTGACTCGACCTGCGCCCCGGATGAATCGCTATCGAAATGCTCCCGGCCTCAGAGGCCCTACCAAGGCAACTCCTAGCACCTTGTGTCAAAAATGCCTGAAACGAGATACGTAAAGACCATCTACACTTTATTTTCATATTTGCTGACGGTCCCAGCACGGCACTATAGTTATGAATGTACAGTGACCGCCCAGGAGCGGCCGTACATGTCTCGTCCATCACGCACGCAGCAGTTGTTGAACCCCAAACTGCGGCCGCAACTCTCAGCTGATGTCCCTAGTGACTCGTCGCGCACGTAGGTCTACTCTTTCTATCTATCTCATGAGCGAGCTGTCAGGAGTAGGTGCTAAAATGCGTATAGCAAAGGACTAGCGACTGAGATTCTTGCTAAGCGTGAGGAAGAACGAGGTCGCAAAAGAGAGCATGATGAGGCGGACCCTCTTGACAGTCGCACTCAGACCTCTAAACGAGCTCGGTCAGCATCATCACATTCGGTCAGCTCGGTATCGACGATATCGACCAGTCGGTCACACTCGAGATCGCCCTCTCGCCATGCGGACTATGGTGCTAGGAAGAGCCATGGCCGAACAAGGTCCATCTCTTCCCATGTCTCCGGACCCAGGAAGAGACGCTACAGCGATGCGTCTTCCCATGATTCTGCAGTCTCCTACTCGTCCAGGGACAGAGATTCACGTTCTCGATCGCGTGAATGGCAGGGTGACAGAAACACCCGGCGGAGGCGTCGAGAATCCAGCCCCGAAGAACGGGGCCGGCCTCGACACATGTCGCGGGACCGTGAACGACGAGACAGGTCCCGAAGTCAGAGCGTGGATCACAGCCGAATTGCCAGGGCGAGACGGTCTGCGACCCCAGAGAAGCGGCCGGAGCGTAGCTATCCTGCTTCAAGAGATTATAGGGATGGTCCGGGTCGCTCGCAGAAGGATGGACGGGGCCAAGGACGTGCGCCGCCTCCGCCCCGTGAGAGGAGTCTCAGTCCTTACAGCAAGCGTCTTGCGTTGACGCAGTCCATGAACATGGGCAGCTAGGTGTCTTTGGCTTGAGGTTTGGAATAGAAAAAGTACTGGACAAAAGGATGTGCGGGAGTTTGGCGTTTTCCCTCTTTCGAGGCTCATCACCACGGGCTGGTTCTCCAAGGATTATAAACGAGGGGCTGTACTATAGTAAGACCATACAGAAGGCTAATGCATTGAAAGTAATTTTCCAAGTAAATCGTATGCAAAGATCCTCAACGCCTTGCGACACTTGTCCCAAATCCTCCAACTGTGGGCGCCTGTAAAAGCAAGATGCAAAGAGATGAGACCGAATCGCAACTGCTACCATACATCTTTCCATGGGGTATCAAAATCATGCCTCATCATCCTCCAGACCATTGCCTGCCTCCTCTTCTTCCCTCTCACGGACATGAATGCCCTGAACCAACATATCACCTTCAATGCCCACTTCTTCGCCCTGTTCACCTCCATTGGCACCTGTCCCTTTCGCCTGAGCTGCGCGTTGTGCCTCTTCTATCCGTTGGCGAACAAGCTTCGCAATCGCATTCTGAGTTCGAACGTTGAGGACGTTCATCTTCTCATCCAAGTCCCGCTTCAAATCCCAATTCGGCTTCTTAGGCTGTAGCTTGAAGAGGTCAATGGGCTGGTCACCTTCCTCATCCTTCTTCGCTTGCTCTGCGGTGGCCCTTGCGATCTCTGCAGCCTGCGCTTCCACGGTGATCTGACCATCTGACGGGGCGGTGTCGAAACCCAGCTTTGGGCCGCGCATTTCTGCGTCGTAGTTCCTCCCGGAGAGGTATTGCTTTGTTACATCGGGGGCAGCATCTTCTAATTCTTCATCGGCGGCGCCAGTTTCGGTCAATGGCTCTGGCTCTGGTTGTTTGCGCTTCAACGCGGCAAGCTTTGCAAGGCGTGCTTTGCGCTCATTTGCCGCCGCATCAAGAGAAGCATGATTTGACGACATCACGGCGGGGGAGGAGGGTCGGATATAAAAATCGAGCGGGGGAGGTTTTCACGATATGGTGTGAGTACGGGGTGTAAAAGGAGGAACGATTCTTTTGATTCTGCCCGCAGAAAACTCCAAGTCTCTTCGAGAGGGTCTCGCGTCGCCCGAGAATCTCAGACAAAGTAATGATGAAGTCTAGAATGATCTTTCGGTAGGTAACTTGCTTGTGCTTGGTTATCGGGCGGTGCTGCGCCACATCTGTAACGCACCAGCCACATCGGCGCCGGAGCAAAATCCGGCGGCGGAGGGAAAGATTATTGGCCGCAACAATCGTGCTTCCCTTCTTTCCCCGGTCCAAACCCGCGCTGTGATTGTTCTGGCAACCTTCAATCGAGATATGAGCTGAACGAGCTGTGAGTCTGAATGTTACCTTGTCCGCACCATCTCCCGCGTTCCCGCGTCTGCGCTGGATTGCCGTCCCATAGCCCGCAGCACAGGCTCCGCTTTGGGCGACGGAGAGAAGGACACTACGATACAAGATCCTTTGTCGACAATGCGCCGCGATCGAATACGTCGAGTCAGCTGGATGTTCTAACCAATGGTCTGAGGCCTTCCAGCGTCTACTGCACTGTTAACCCGGAAATGAAGCCCCAGCGCCTCTTCCATACAACTACCTTTGGCCGATCTGCAGGGAATCGTGTATTTCACAATCAGCCCTCGATTACCAAAAGGGAGTTCTCACTTCTGTCACCCGGAGCCGGTTCTCGCAATGCAACTTTACTATCGATCATCAACAAACACACCACACTTTCCGTCGTGCAGAAACGCAATTTGCGCACCCCACCTACCCTCGCGAGCTTCAGCGATGTGAAGCCGCTCTTGACATTGCGGTTTGGAAAAGAAACCAAAGCCTTGGATTTGGCTATTAGATCCGGATCATATATGTGCAGTGGAGATGATATTCGAAAATGGAGATTTGCGCAAAGAGAGTTGTTTCAGGCGAAGTACGAGGAGAGAGAGGTGCAGGAAGAGTTGGTGCCTTACCCTCTAGACTCAAAAGATAAGGAGCTGCTGGAGGCCATTCAAACGGACAGCCTGGGAGCGTTCCGTGAGGCCTGGAATGGCCTAACCCCGATGGAAATGGAGATCCACTGGGGGCGATTGTCGCTGTGGCTATTACGGAATTCTCCTGAGCTGGCCTTGGAATTCCTCCTAGTCACTTGTCAGGCTTCTGTTAAACCAGTATTTGCCATGATTGCGGACTGCCTGATCTATTTGGACACTCTTCATTCTGGTGAGATGCAGCGGTGGAGGAAAAATTCCCACAACTATCAGTCTGTCATACGTATCTGCTTGGATCCCATGCAGTGGCCTGTCTCCTATGTGCCGCAGAAGGGTGTGCGCTTCTACATAAAGAAGGCTGACCGTAGCGCAGTTTATGAGGCATGGAATCTTGTGGAGACTCGAAAGCACAGATTGAAGGGCGAGACCTACCTTGGTTTCATGGGCCGCTTCACGGAATTCAAAGACGTTGACAACGCACTCCTGGCACTGCGCCGGGCTGGGCGGCAGTTTTGGAGATTACATCAAAGTCCTATGGAGATAGCAGTTTCACGCCATTGCAGCAAGCTCTTGGTTCTCGACTCGGTTGTGGATGGCCCGGATGGACGCAATTTCCGCATTCTTCCCGAACTCCTCAGTATGGGGGTGCAGCCTGACCGAGACATGATGAACGTGGTGCTCTCTAACGCCTTCAAGACAGGGGATCCTCAACTCGGGCTTGATGTATTGCGCCATATGAAGGCTCAAGGCTTCCAGCTCGATTCGTACACTTATCTGACTCTACTTAGCGATGCTGTCGCTCGTCAAGACAGGGAGCGAATGACACACTTGATGGAGGAACTTGAAAGCCAGCCAGAGCTCAAGAAGAACCCCTATATTGCGAGCAAGCTCTTCCACTCTCACTTCGTTTTCAACGTCAAGCATCTCGATGGTGCTACAGACCGCCGGGAGATTTTCTACTCACTGCTGCGCATGTATTGTGAGCTGCATGACATAACGCCCCTAAAAGAGCTCTCGATTGTCCCTCGTCAGTACGATCTTCCAACAACTGGCGAAAAGACCCCACCGTCCGTCATTGCCTTGTATCTCGTGATTGCGACTTGGCTCCGGTGTCAAGCTCACGTGGGCAGCGTCGAACGTGTTTATACCAGGTTCCGGGAATTGGTGTTGCAAGGCCACAAAGACGTAGCCCCTCTAGCTGCGACCGACCATACCTACAATGAGTTCATGCTTGCGTATCGTAACAATCCACACGGGTTACGGCCCGCTGTGCGCGTTGTTGAAGACATGTTACAGTCTGCCACTGAGGTTGGCGCCAAAACTGGCAATTCTGAGTCAACTTTCACGCAGACACAGCCAACGGTCTTGACTTGGACGCTGCTGTTGAGTGCTTTCATCTATAACAACCAGCCACTCGCGGCTGAGAAGGTGAGAGAGATGATGGCTAAGCATGGTGTTGTATACAGCATGACTACTTGGAATGTCATCATCAGCGGGTTTGCGAGCCAGCAAAATGCATCTGCCATCGCGCAGTCCATCAAAGATCTCGAAGATCAAGGCCTTTCCATTGATGCTTATACGATGAAGGGCCTGCGCTACCTCCGAGACCCGGAGCAGCTCTGGATTGCGGTGGAGCAGTTGGACCTGAAATCTGCATCTCACTTGAGGAGGGATGCTTTCAACCCGAACCCCGAATCTCCCCACCTGGACGAAGCGGAAACTGAGCAGCTGCTCGATCGAGGCCTGCAGCGTCTAAAGGCCAACGCATGAGATACCCTTCTTTCTGTTTCCCGTCTCTTTCTGTTTCTTCTCTTGCATCTCTAGCGCGGACCTGGGACTACGGTGGTTTGGACAAAATCATTCTTGAACATAGACATCCTGATAGTGTAGCATTTATGTACGATATACAGATCAATAATCATGAGAGACCCCTGCAAGAAAAGAAGATGCAAAAAAGAGAAGCTTCGATAACGCCACCACCTGGTAGAATGACCATCTAATCTGAGACCGCATGGAGATGAGGCGAGTCAATCAGCCGCCGAAGAAAATCGAGACCTGGCAAGAGCATGGACATTAGCATTCCAGGCTAAGCTAGTAGTTGGTTCCGGGAAGGTGCTTAATATACTTACAGCCATCACCACGCAGCATATACTGACATACGGACTCAACCGTTCACCGATCCTAGCACACTTCCAGAAGATCCCAAAGAAGCTGAATATAAGGTCAGATTAGAATCATGTCACTTCATAGACTCGACTTGAGGTCCGCTGCAGAAAGCAGCAGTCAGCAGCACTTACCCGCTCTGATTGCGGTCCATAATCCCCGGCATCATCGAGTGTGCATATGTGCTCGTGCAGATGATAAGCAAAAACACGAGCAGAAGTGACTGAAAGTTGAACAAGGCCGACTGCATCATACACGAGAAGTCAACGATCCATTGCCAGTAGATGTGGCAGCAAGTGGGATATTGTGGAGTATTCACTGACCATCTTGAGGGTAACCGATCGTTGACTACCTCACTGTCTTTGATTTACTTTCCTCTTCTTTTCTCCAATCCCTCCCAGGTCGTCTGTATCTCAAAAGGTACCCCAATCGTCCGTGCAAACCAAGTGACGAGAGTAACACATGATGAGCCAGACGACCTCCGTCCCGCGCGCAACCAAACCAAGCGATTCTGCCACCATGTCCTCCGTCACGAGTTCCCACCGCCTTTCCGCGCGGAAGTCCGGCCATCGTTCCGCCGCAGCTCCTGCTTCAATTCGCAACACACCTTCTGTCCGTCCAGCCTCGCAACCTCATCGTCGCTCTCTGCCATCGCAGCAGACTTCTAGGGCTTCACCAGCCTCTTCCCGTCAGCCCAGCACTGGCCATGTGTCGAGTCAGCTCGCTTCTGCTTGGCCGTTCAATCCCCAGGAAACAGAACTAATCCGCGCCGGATACCGTCCCGCCTTCAAACCGAAACCCGTCGCCGCAGCGGACGAACAGTCCTCGACCAACAAAAACAGCAATAGAAAAGGGCCCAATAAGAAGAATAATATGGCGGAACCACGAGCCCGTGCCGCTAGGCACAAGGGTCAGATGAACTTTGCATCTGAACGTACGTCTGTCGCCGTCGATATGTAAATCGATAGCTGGACCTATAGTTCTGGTTGCTAACATGAACCCTCACATCAGTCCGCCTCCTCCTTCTTGCCTATGGTGACCCCCGTCCGCACCCTTCGTTTCCCGCCGAACCACTCCCCGAAACCATCCGTGTTCTGGACGAGATTGTCACCGACTTCGTTCTCGAAATGTGTCACGGTGCGGCCCAGTACGCCAGCTACTCCCGCCGGCAGAAGATCAAGGTCGATGACTTCCGGTTTGCGCTGCGCCGGGATCCCAACAAGCTTGGTCGTGTGCAGGAACTTCTTCGCATGGAGCGTGAGCTGAAAGAGGCTCGTAAGGCATTTGATCAGAATGACGATCAGGTCGGGAACTTGAAGGATGCGGGCAAGAAGGGTCTTGAGGAACTTGGCGAAAGTGTTGATGGGAAGAAGAGTAAGGGCAAGGGGAAGAGAAATGCAAGAAGGGATTCGGATGCCACGGAGGATACGGCGCCGAAGAAGAGAAAAGTTGTGGGATGAGCTGAGATTTGATCTTGCCCGATACCTTTCTCTGGCTGCTGATTTGTTTTTCTTTTTCCTCCTCTACTTTCTGGCGTTCGGGACTACAGGGATAGGGTCTGTTCCACCTGCTTCTTAAACAAATATGATATCCACTATCTGGTCGGCATTGGGGGGGCGTTTGTTATGTATCAAGATCGAAACTCTTACTTAGCTAAAACCAACTAGCTCCCTAGATAAATGAAAACTTATCAGGAGATCCGTCACTACTGGAAAAGGTAAAGTCCATCGATAAGACATGATCTACCCTAGTTCGTACTCTATTGCAACGTCTATCAACAGAATAGATGGACAGGAAAGTCAACTAGCCCCAAAGGCATTGCATATGTACCAAAAACCACCCTGACACTGTCACCCGACCCTACATCACATACAAGAGACCAGGACAATAACGAAATGCAAGCTTCTGGTTCTAGGCTGATCGCGTGTATGTTAAAGCACCTCTTCTGCTCTCTTTTCCCATTTTTATTTTCCATTTCAAGCCAGACAGACGGACTCCCATACGCCGTTCGTTGCTCTTTTCTTTCATTCTTTCATCTTATTTCTTTTCCTCCTTTCCATTTTGGGCTTCGTTGGTTCGTTCTTCGTATGATCCTATCCGTCCAATATTATGCGCAGTTTCTTTCCTGAGAAAGACAGGTGATCATTGATAGGGTGCGTATTGGTTGGATGTGATGCCTGCCATGCCAGATGCGGAACCAGGCTTCAACCCACACACGAGTTCTCCTTGGCTGGCACAGGAACGGATATGGACTGGAAACATATCATATATCCAGGAAATAGAAAGATATCAAGGGGACATGCTTTTTGTTGCGTGGCGAGGGAAATTGAAAGAAGAAAAGAATTTTTGCACAAATGAAATAAATGTTAAAAAGAGAAATGGAAAGGTATCGTTATAATAACCCTATGATATCCTCTTACGCGCGAGCCTCCTCTCCGCTCCGTTCTTGAGTCCGCTGTTGCCCGCCCCGGCCTCCTTTGCCGCCCCGTTGGCCGCCGCGCTTGTCGCCCGACTCGCCGCTGCCGGACTCGCCTCCCAGAGTCAGCTGGGCGGTTGCTAGCCGGTTGGACAGCTCCATCTGTGTACGGATGGTGTTGGCCAGGTAGGACACGACCAGGACGTCCTGGATGTGGTTGTTGCTGTTGATTTCGGTTAGTTTGGTACTTAATATTGGGCTGATAACTAGGGGGGGTTAAGGGAAGAAGAGGGGAGGGGGCAACATACAAGTCACGCTCAATGTCAGCAGGCTCAACCTTAGGCGCCAGAGCCAGGGTGTTGAGCAGGTACTGGCCCAAGGCCGTCGAAGCAGGAGCCTCCTCGTCAATGACAGACTCAACGTAGCGGGAAACCCGGTCGATCATGCCCAGAACATCCTCAATCGCACGCTCCAGAGCCTCGATATCAGTGAAGATGTTGGCACGGCGCTCCTCGGCATCACGGGCCGCACCAATAGCCTCCAGACCACTCTTCTCGGCCTCGCCGTAGCGGATCTCGTAAGGGACGGGGATGAAGGCGGCGCTGTCGGCGGCTCTCTCCGCGGTCACACCAACGGGGGCGGAGATGTAGGCGCGGGTCTCGATATCCTTGCCAGCCTCGGTGGACACGGTCAAGTGGACGGCAGGGTGAGGCCACGTGCCATCACCCTGGCCGCTGTAGAAGTTCTGGATCAAAGCGGAAAAGGTGTTCAGCTCGGACGAGGTGGCGTACCAACCCACGAGCACTTCCTTGGGGTTGGCCTTCAGGTGCAACGCAAGCATCTGCTTCTGGTATTCCATGTCCACCTCAACCTGGTCTGTCGTCTCCGTGTGTCCAACAGCGAAAGTGCTGCGAATTTCCACCTCGGTTCCATCCTCGGATCTGGTTCCCAGCAGAGTACCGATGACACGCTCCTGGTCAGCGTTGCGACGAAGGGAGTGGTCCAGGATCGAGAAGAGCGCCTAGCCCATAGTATTAGCATTCTGGCTCCGGTCGAAGAGGGCTGCCTGATCCAGCCATAAAACACGTACCTGAGGTTGGATGACAACGTTCAGAGGGGCGGTTGTCGGTGCAGTCCCCACTGCCACGGGGCCCAGAGGGCGAGCGAGGTGAAGGAAGGAATCAGCTTCAGCCATGATGAAAAATAGGTCGAGCGGTCTCTCGGGTTGATCTCGTCCTGGCCGTGGGGGGGAAAGAGTGGCACTCTGGGGTTCGGGATTCTAATTAAATCTTCCGCCTCTGATGCCGCGACGGAGGTTCTGCTGCGAGGCTCAAATTGTGTGTGCGCAAAGGGAATTTCGCGCTAAGATAAGATAAGCAACTCCCCCCCAACGCCGCGAAAAAATAATCCGCCCAACTGCAATCGACCCCGAATTGTTTCTTTCCCAGTGGCCATAGCCAATTTAATTTTGCGTTTACTTTACTATCAATGGCTCCTCCAAGAGGCAGAGCTCCTAGAGGCCGCGGCAAACGCTCGAGAGGGCCCGTTGGGCGCCGCGATGCCTTCCAGGCTTCTCGGGTTGACGACATAGAGTGAGCATCACTTCCGCGCTGGTCTCTACAGTAAAGCTGACCACCCGTGCAGGTCGGATGATTCTTCGTCCGGGGAAGATGGCCCTATTGATGAGCATATGGAGGAAGGTATGGCCGAGGAGGAAGCCATGGATGTCGGTTCATCCAGCGACGAAGAGGATGAGGAGAAGTCCGGGCGTCCTTACAACGAGCTGCTACAACTGTTGAACACATCTACCGACTCCAAGGGTCCGGCCCGCAAGAAGAGAAAGGTCGAACATAAGAATACAGAGACCATCGAGGTCGTCCGTGAGGACCCTGTGGCGGAAGAGGACGAAGAAGCTCTCGGGGAGGACGATCTAGAGCAGCAAGAGCCTTCGGATGAAGAGGACAATGGGAATCAAGAAGATGCTGGCGCACAGGATAGTGACGATGAAGACGGTATATTCTTAAGCTGTTTATTCTTTTGGCCATTGCACTAATCTTCAAACAGACAATGATCCTTTCGACACGCACTTCACGAACCCGACGGAGGATGAGCTTGCTAAGAAGATCAAGGCTATCGGGGAGAACAAGTGGAAGAACGCAAAGAAGGAACTGCCAGAAGGTTTGAGGCTTGTGCGCGCTGTTCCAGATACTGGCGATGATGCGTCCTGGCTGCCTCCAATGAAGCAGATCTCAAGCGTGAAGGTGAGCGTGGCCGCCCCAGATTACTGAAACGGCCACTGATCTAGATCCGGTACAGCTTAAGAGAAAGCTTAAAGAGCCAGCATCCGATAAATTCCCCCAAATCAGCGGACAGGCCCAGCATATTGCTCCGTACATCTTCGGCTACCAGGACGTCCTGTATGGAGCCCGGACGCCCTCCAACTCGGCCCAGATGCGCGACCTTCTGGCCCTCCACGCCACCAACCACGTGCTGAAGACCCGCGATCGAGTGCTTAAGAACAACACACGCTTGGCCAAAGAGCAAGACTCCGACCTCGATGTCCGAGACCAGGGCTTCACTCGGCCCAAGGTACTTTATCTCTTGCCTACCAAGCAGGCTTGCGTGCGGGCCGTCGAGTCCATCACGCGCTTCTTTCAACCCGAGCAACAAGAAAACAAGAAACGTCTCCTCGACACTTTTTCGGCAGCTGATGACCCGTCATGGGAGAGCAAGCCGGACGACTTCCGCGAGCTCTTCGGTGGCAATGACGACGATATGTTCCGTCTAGGTCTCAAGTTCACCCGCAAGACTGTCAAGTATTTTGCACAATTCTACACCTCTGATATCATCATGGCTAGTCCGCTGGGTCTACGCACCATCATGGACCAGGCAGAGTAAGTCGACCAACCTAACCCTCGAGTCCAGAACATTCTATCTAACCCCCTCACAGTGTGAAGAAACGCGATCACGACTTCCTTTCGTCTATCGAAGTAGTAATCGTTGACCACGCGGATGCCTTGCTCATGCAGAACTGGGATCACATCGACTACATCATGAAACACCTCAACCTGCAGCCCCGAGAGGCACACGGGTGTGACTTCAGTCGTGTGCGAACATGGTATCTGGACAACAACGCGCGGTATGTGCGGCAGATGATTATGCTCACCTCATTCGTCACTCCGGAGATGAACTCGGTGTTCTCGACGCACATGCACAACACCTCGGGCAAAGTCAAGGCCACGCCGATCCACGCGGGGGCGATCACCGAGCTCCCCCTCCCGGTGTCGGTCAGACAGACATTTACCCGCTTCGACTGTCTCTCGCCGGCGAAAGACCCCGATGCGCGCTTCAAGCACTTCACCACGACAATCCTCTCGTCGCTAGTGCGTGACATTGCCTCCGGTCGCGGCAAGGCCAGCGCTGGAGGAACCCTGATCTTCATCCCGTCGTACCTGGACTTTGTACGCGTGCGTAATCACTTCGCCACGTCGCAGCAGACCACCAACGTCTCGTTTGGAGCCATTTCCGAATACACCGAGCAGCGGGAGGCGTCGCGGGCTCGCTCATACTTTATGAACGGGCGCCAGTCGGTGCTGCTGTACACGGAGCGTCTGCACCACTTCCGTCGGTACCAGCTCCGCGGGGTCAAGCGGATCATCATGTACGGAGTGCCTGAGAACCCGGCATTCTATAGCGAGATTGTCGGGTTCCTGGGATTGGATCCAGCCGCGTTGGTGGAGGCGGCCGAGGGAGGCGTGCGGGCGTTGTTCTCCAAATGGGATGCGCTGAAGCTGGAGCGGATTGTGGGCACGCAGCGAGTGGGCAATATGATGCGGGAGAAGGGAGGAGATACTTTTACATTTATGTAAATCATATATACTAGTAGCTGTATACTAATTTATGTGTATACTGTTGAGAATAGACCAACACAGGTACTACCGGTAGTAGTGACACGGACCTTGAGTGACCGATAGAGTTTGATCCCTGCTGCTCACATGCAGATGCACATCTCATTGAATTTCCATGTTGGCGGCAGATCCGCCCACGTATCCTGCTCCATGATATATGACATCGTAGTACATCCAGTGAACTTGGGTTAGTGTCACTCCAATAACTTGAACATATATCTACCTAGATACTAGTAGGTTTATAGTAAACCCGATAAGCGCACCACAACCAAGGAACCATTCCCATTCACAGCCAGCAACCAGGAATATCTGCATAGCATTCAGTCAGATTATTATCCTTCGTGAACAGTACAATACATTGAACTCGATATACTCTTCATCCAACAACACACTCAATCCATATACTTCAGTCAAAACAGTAAGATTCGGACAATCTACACTCCAAACCGAAGGGTGTCACAAGGGCCCGATTAGTCATGCAAAAAAAACAAGGCCGATCGCGGCTCTAAAAGAAGTTTGGTGTCACGGGCTTATTTTTCTAATGCATTATTTTCTTCTTTTTGCTGGGGATAAATAGAAAGATATCGTCACATTCCATTGCTTTTCCCAGCCGGTCTGTTGACTTTCAAGTTCTTTTTCTATCTCCAAAGGGGGGAAGGGATACTTCAGTCCTTGCACTATCATTCCTATTCATGAGTACATGAACGATTCGACGATATTTCAAACTGTTTTGTTTTTTTGTTTTCATGAGTTTATGATTTAACGAAGCAAAGGAATCAAACACGAACTACGACCCAAAATAATCTGGAAACTGGAAACACAATGTCTCTGAATCCATCTGACGCAAGGGGCGTCAACTCGACCGCGGGTGAAGAAACTCAACAATATGTAACTTTACTACCGGCTCAGAATCAAGTCGATGAGCAGCACCAACAGCACGTTGTCTATTCGGAGCAGACGCCGCTGCTTCGGTCGGGACTTGGTCATGAGTCTGCTTCTGCTTCTTCAGCAATGCATCACTATTCATCTCAGCCCTGGTGGAAGACGGCGCAGCAGGTAGCCTGCGATGTCTGGCTGCAGGGCAAGGGCATGATCCTGGTCATGTTCTCGCAATTCTTTGGCGCGTCGATGAATGTCATGACGCAGTTTTTGGAAATCAAAGGTCGTGATGGGAAGGGGTTTCATCCGTTTCAGGTGCGTTCTATATCGCCTACCTATCTTTCTGCTGGAAAGCTCTGCTCTGCTCTGCTGCTAGTGGATGGATGATCTACTGTGCGCTGTGTAGGGGACGTCCACTCGTGGGGCACCCTCTAGTAGACACTAGATATCCCTGCTCAGGAACCCGGCTGATCCCGTAAGAACAGATCCTGTTCGCCCGCATGTCTATCACGGTTCTCGCTAGTTACCTCTACATGTGGTATGCGCGTGTACCGCATCCGTTCGGAACGCGCGATACCTTCACTCTGCTGATGCTGCGCGCCGGAGGTGGATTCTTTGGCGTCTACGGGCTCTATTACTCCGTGCAGTACCTGCCGCTCTCCGAGGCGACCGTGGTGACCTTTTTAGCGCCGATCCTGAGCTGCTATGCTTGCTCGCTTTTGATCCCCAACGAGTTCTTCACGCGCAAGCAGCAGCTCGCCGGACTGGTCTCGCTGGCGGGTGTCGTTCTCATCGCTCGGCCGTTCCCGTTCATGCGATCGGGCGGCGACTCCGAGCCGGAGCAGGGCGATAAGCCCGGTGCCACCGATAGCTACCACCACGTGCTGGCCATCGTGGTGGCTCTGTTCGGAGTGCTGGGTGCCTCGTGTGCGTACACCACGATCCGGATGATCGGACAGCGCTGCCACCCGCTCGTCTCGGTGACTTACTTCTCCACATTCACGACAGTCGTAGCTACGCTGGCGATGCTGGTCGTGCCATCGATTCCGCTGGAGCTGCCGGGCACAGTGCTGGAATGGACGCTGCTTCTGGGGTTAGGTGTCAGCGGATTCCTGCTGCAGTTCCTGCTCACAGCAGGTCTGGCATATGTACCGCCGGTGCGGAAGACCAAGGCGTCAGTAGACTGGAACCGGGACTATGGCACGCGCGACGAGGAAGAAGAGCCGTCCGCGAAGCCAACATCGTCCGGATCACGGGCGACTTTCATGTTGTACACGCAGATGCTGTTTGCCGTGTTCTATGACCGGGCGATCTGGGGTAGTACGTTGTCGGCGGTGAGCTGGATGGGATCAGTGCTGATCCTGGTGAGCGCCATGTATGTGGCCATGGCGCGAGAGGGCGCAAAGGGAACCTCATCCGAGGAGAAGGAGGGCGGAGATCAAGAGGGCACGGACGAGAACCGGGCTGGAGTGGCTGCAGAAGAGCGTCTGGAGGAAGGCGGGGGAAGGCAAGTGAGCGGGGGTCGCGCATGAGGCGTTTTGCAAATCGCGCGACGATCTGAGGGATTTGCTTGATAAATTGGGGAAGGAGGAAGCAGGTCGGCGTCACTGTGCATATCCCGACAGTAGAAGGAAAGAGATTGAGCGATGCCACATGTCGATGGAGGAGAAGGGGCTCACATTGCATACACAGCATACTGGCGCAGAGCATTTATACAAAGGGTATATATAAAAATTGTAGTTATTGATTGACTGATTGATAGAAGTGAAAAGTGAGGCGGTCGGATGCAGTGATACTCCATACTAAGTATACGCTAGTAAATGATGCCAGTCCGTAAGTGGCAAAGACCATAGAGAGCTCCACTCCAATGGGCATCCCCAATTGCTTTTGAGGGATGTGATTGGTTATAATGCGGGAAAGTGGCTGAAGCTCTTTCTGGATTGGGATTGTGATAGGCTCGCTTCAATACTCATAAGCACTCATACCAGACTACTACCGATACTGACTTAAGATAGTGGAGGCAGAACAATCCGGGGATACCAACTACTTTTTATACTCTTGACTCTTTATATCAGGTAGTATCTATACGTGGCATTCTCAATTGGAACACAACCCAGATACAACTATCCCTACTCTGCAAGTCACATACTCTAGCATCAATACTACTCCTACTGCTACAACCGGAGCACTCTGATCCTACCGGCGAGCTTGACTGCAGCATCCCTGCATGTGAACAAGTTGATTGGCCGCCACCACGTCATAAGGTTGCACTTGAGACCGTGCCATTCCGATTCTTGAATATTAACTAATTTATTACTTTATACTCCTTGATATTATTTTAATTATCACTTCGTACTTCTTGTATCTCTCTCTCTCTCTCTCTATCAATGTGTCAGTGTCAGTGTGTATCTGTGCATTCCCTCTACTAGCTTATATATAAGCTAGTCCCGTCATTCTTTCTCTACTCATATTTGTCTTTAGACTTGGATTCCACATTCTATTCATACATCTCCTACTTTATATATAAAAACTACTAGAACTAGAAAGATACTACTATACTATTATATACACCATGCGCCACTTCGACACCTGGATCCTCCGCGACCCCTACTCCATCTTTCACTACTATCCCACCGGCAAACGATGGCCAGAATCCATTCGCGAATTGATCCAATCTCGTCAAATTTGCAGTCCTCCCTCCTCTGCCAACAATGATGCCATACCAGCAGCAATACCAGCAGACAACACCTCCCAACCAACCAGCTCCTTCTTCCAACGTCTGCCCCCCGAAATCCGCCTCATGATCTACGCCTACGTTTTCAACGACTCCCCCAACACCACTCCCACCCCCAATGACTCTTACAACAAACACAACCATCCACCTCGTCCAAATCCGCAACAAAATTCACCACGTCCGCTGCACGCACCCCTCCCCGCTGGACAAACACCGCCAATGCTGTCCCCAGACCATGGCTAGATGGCGCACCTCGCCTACCACCACTACCACCACGATCCCCAAACCCATCACCACCACCACCACCATCACCAAAGGAGGAGCAGTCACATCTCCAGCAAAAGCCACCGACACAAACAGCTCCCTCTACCCACACACCCACCCCTCCCTACCCCTTACCCTCTCGAAAAATACCACCTCCCCACTCCTCACCTGCCGAGCCATGTACCTCGAGTCCGCACCCCTGCTCTACTCCCTCACCACCATCGACACGGACGACCTGTACACTTTCCTCTCGTTCATTAATACCATCTCCCCCCACCTGCGGAAATATATCAAGTCCCTCATGGTGCAGTATACACCCATCTGGCAGCCCATGGCGGGCCAGGAGTATCCCTTCTCCGTGTATACGCATACGCATAATGATATGCTGTGGGGTGGGTTCTGGGATGCCGTGGCGAGGAAGTGTCCCGGGTTGGAGAGGGTCCGGTTGGGGTTGGATTTGGGGACCGTGTTTGCTGTTAATAATAACATTGGAGGTGGAGGTGGGATGTCGGTGACGGGTGGGAATATGGTCAGTTTTGGGACGGAGGAGGAGTGGGTGAGGCCGTTGTTACGTGTCAGGGGGTTGAAGAGTTTCGAGTTGGGGGTGATGGTGAGGTGTGATCGGTTGGCGAGACGCGTATTGGAGAATGGGTTGGTTAGGGATGTGCAGGTTCTCAGGGAGAGGTTGATGGAGGTGATGTGTAAGGAGAGGGATAGACATGTGAACGATGAGGAGGATGGGGTGAGTGAACGGAGGAGGGGGAGGCTGGCTATTATGGCTGCTTGATGAAGGAAAGAAAGTGATCTTTTAGGCGTTTTGTTGCATGATAGATACCCTTGCTTTGTTGTTTGTGCGCAGTGATACACGATAGAAGTCGGTACTGACTGACTATATATAAACTGCATACTGCTACTACACTTCTCGTATCCATGAATGAATTAGCCCTCTATCAATCAATCTAGCTGTACATTACCATCCATCCATTCATCCATCATCCATCTTATGCCCCGAAGAAAAGAAAAAGAATATGCAATTTACCAAAAATACCCAATCAACCAACAACCCATTAGACATACCTATCCAGACATCATTACTCATTAACTCGGTCAGAAAGGAAAAAGAAATATAAAATAAAACATCTATTCCTTTTCTTTTTTTTCCAACGCTACCGTGAGCTAATGAAAATAAAGTCCTCGCTTAACTTACATCGATCGTTGCAACAAGTCAGAAACACAGACCTCTTCATCAGTCTGGGGTCTGATGAAAAATCGTGGATGATTAATCAATCAAGCGTGATGCTGCTCATGCTCCTGCTGCTGGAGCTGTTGCTGCAATGCCTCCGTGCTGCGTTCCACCTCCGAATCGTGCTCTTCCTCGCTGGTGGGTGATGGTGCTCGGCTGCCCACGAGAGAACGGCGACTGCGCATCTACATTGGAGTCAGAATTAATCAATCCCACGGAATAAAAAAATCGAGAGCACCTACCCATGCGCGAACACCCCCAATCAATCCCAAACTGTAGCCCGTTGCAAAGTCCGGCTCGTTCCGACCATTGCCGATTGTGCTCTCCGGACGTCCCAGCGCCTCCACCCGAGAAACGTGCGCCTTGCTACCCAGCACAGGACTAGTGACACCGCTGCGCGAGCCGCCCAGATCCACGCTGTTGCGCGCGCTCGATAGCGGGCTGTTGGGCCGGCTGTTTTGCCAGAACTGGCGCAGCTCCCGACCCAATTCTTGGCCTGTCGTAGTCCAGTTAGACCGGATGCTGTCCCGGAGCTCATTCACGTGGCGCTTAATCTCCAGCTCATTCTTCTTCAGCCATGACACATTCAGTTCCTGTCGTGAAGCACCGCGCTTGAACTGTCGAGAAATGTACTGATCGTAATCGCGAACAATTCTGTAACTGCATGAGCCCCAATCTGAACACATCGCTTTCAGCAGAATAACTCACCTGGTGATAATGCCCGTTGTGCTCACACCCTCTGTCCGCTGTGTAGCCAAGAACTTTCCTTGAGCCTTGATCGGCGCATAGATGTCATCTCCCTCGTCTGCACCATATGGCAAATCATCATGCGCAACGTAGTCAATCTGGTGGGCATCGATGAATTCCGGCGTCACAATCCAGGGGCAATTGGGAATCACTTCATCCACCCATCTGCAATGGCGGATACTCTCTGCACGCTCCGCACCGCTCAAGACTGTCAGTCCTTTGCGCTTATGTGTTTCCTCGTCTCCGGTAACTCCGACAATCAAATGCACGTCAGGGAACGCCTTCTTCGCCTGTTCCAGTTGCCGCATGTGTCTGCACACCTCATGATTAGCACTCTGTCCATATAAGCCGCATGGCCGATACATACCCCACATGGAACAGATCAAACACGCCGTCCGCATATACGCGCACCGGCCGTCCCGTTGGCGGAGGGTTGGTGTGATAACCGACGGGATCCTTAAGTCCAGCACGCTCGGGGGGGCTCATCAACGGCTCCGATGTGTCTACCTGCAAGCCCGGCCGGCTCTTGCTCCGACTCTCAATGTCACTGCTGGCCACGGTGGTCTCGGATGGCTCGCCCGGATCCTCCTTGCTAAGGGCCGATGGTGCGTTGGGGAGGTCGCCATTGGAAACTGGAACGTGACCTTCACTGGTGGACGCCTTGCGGGCCCGCTTGGTCGGCGGAACGGTGCCGGCAGAGGTGACATCGAGAGACGATTGCTTCTTGTGCTTGCTGGGCAAGGGAATGGCGGAGCCTGTGGACTCGTCGCCTTCCTCACCGGACGCGTCGCGAGAGGAGGGTTGCAAAAGTTCTGCAGGGGATGGAATGGCGGCATTGGCGGAAAGATGTTGGGAACCGCTGCGCTTGCGTTTACTCGAAGAGTGGGGGGAGGACATGATGGCCGACCGAGGGAGCACAGCTCGACTTCTGTCAATAAAAAAAAAATTACACGGAAAAGAAGAAGCTGAGGAGGAGGAGGAGCGAAAGGGAAGAGGGTAAGAAATTAATCCACTAGGCGACAGGTGAGACAAGAGGACAGAAAAGCAGGACGGAGAGGATGTGGAGGAGGGAAGAGGAGGAGCACGGGAGGGCCCGGGGATGGGATCCAAAACACAAGAGGAGAAGGTTGGATTCCCTCAACAAACCATGGGGGGAATGGCGGAGGGGAAAAGGAAGAGGAAGAGAGAGGGAGTAAGAAGAGGAAGAAGAAGAAACTAGAGCAGGACCCTTGACAGACGGGCGATGGAGCAAGCAAGACAAGGGGAAAGAAACCGACCGAAAGTATCGCGGATCCGAAACTAGAGCGCAGACTAAAAAAGGCAAGAATCTCAAAATCTTCCCGACCGGGAATATCGATTCATGTATTGTACCTTACTCAAACTCGACTGATCACGTCCGATATACTGACCGCTTACCAGTTACTGGGTCGCTAGTGACCGCGAGCAACTGCTAAATACTGCTAGATACTGCTAAAATACTGGCATTGCCCACAGTGGGGAAAGCAAGCAAGACAAGACCGTCACGTATGGTCCTGCCCCAACAATCATCCTCCATCACGGGACTGCGGCGGGCCCTCTCATTCGCCCGGCTCATCCAAAGGACCATACGGTGTACCTCAATCAGGCCTTTTTTGCGAAGTACCTTAGCTAGCTGCTCGATACTCCTGTTACTAACTTACTACTACTGACTCCTCTCTACTACTACACGCATCCCCACATCTCTTGTCGCATTTGACTTCCGGACGGTGTCAACACTCCTGCACAGCCAACGTTTCTATATGCATACGATATAATTTAAGAAACGAAAAAGAGGAAAAGAAAAAGATTCAACATACACGGCTCGCTTCCATCCCGGTTCCAGAAACTCCGCTGCTGAAGCAAGCATTCGATGAGTTTGCCTTACCCGACCCCGGACTTATAAAAACTGTACGTCATGCCATCGTGGAATACCTCTCCCCCCGGGACGCCATACATGGTGTGCAACTCCGCTATTTTCCTCCCCTCCCTGACCTGATCGAACTGGTTACAACATACCAATGTCGCGCTCAAGCCGGGACATCGCAAGGGCTGTCCCACCGGTAAATTCCAGGTTGCAGCTGAGGTGGACACGGCATCACATCGTCAAGGAGCAGGGAAGACACAAAGACAATAAGAAAAAGAAACGAAAAAATGGGACAATCATGGAAAATATCATGGTTCATCAACAGTGGGCGTTTTGTGCGGTATCTTGTTCATGGCATGAAACAGACGTACTCTCGTGAGGCCGGCCGCTCGCGGCTCTGCAATAAAACTGGTAAACATAAACGAAACCCTCCGACCCGATTCCCATGCATCCACCCCGCAACCAATGCCGAAACGTTGAGTGACTTTGGACTTCCTTCTCGATAAAGGTCACCTCGCGATTGGGTTCCACTGCCTCTGAAACCACTAGGCCATTTCAAAAGGGAGTAAGGCTGGAGTATAATAGATAGAAGGGGGGGAAAGTTCGACGTGAGGAAGCCTGGCGCTTCCGAAGGGGCAAGGCAGAAAGAAGTCCACGTAAATGTAAGGAAATAGGTAAAAACGGGCACAGTCGTAGAATCACACACGGGTGGTTTTCAAAGAACCAAAATAAGGAAAAAAGGGAAAAAGGGAAAAAGGTAACAAGCGCGGCAAGGGGAAAAAAGGAGGAAAAAAAAGAAAAGACATATTAAGGAGAAATGCAAGAGATCCATCATGACTACGAACTCGTAGGCTTTTGCGGCGTTCCAGGGCCACTGCCGGACGAACCCTCCGCGGTGGTAGACGGCGACTCCGATATCTCAGCGGCGTCCGTTCGAGAAGTATCCTTAGACTGAGGCCCAGGAGTTCCCTCCCGTTCATTCCGAGCCGCATCAGGCGAATCACGGTGCACCTGATTGACAAGGTCCTGGTCTTCCTCAGCCTGATCAAAGAGTTCGTCATCGTTCTGCTCCGGAATCAATTCAGTGCCGTCCCCCAAGAGGATGATGCGGCCCGAGCGGACGCTGAAGCCACGCGCACGGTCGTTTTCCATGTCAAAGTCATCCGGGTTCTCCTCGAATTGATTCCGGATACCGGGGCCGCGGAACTCAGCTGCACCCCCCGTTCAGTCAGTAGGGATTGGAATTGGAGGCCGTGGGATCCTCGAGAGACTTGCCGTACTCGGGCGGAGCGCAAGGGCCGTCGCCGTTCGCCACGCGCTCAGCGATCTGGTTGTACCACTCCTCTTTGGTCCTACCGTTCAGGAGACCGATGATGACCATTGTCATATTGTCGCAGCCAACGCCGCCGGTTTCACTGTTGGAGGCCAGGCAGTTGTCCATCATGTTCTCACAGATCCGATACAGATCCTGCTTCGCGGCAATCCCACGGCGGACGAATTCCACCACTGATTGGGAGGACTGACAATCCCAGATACCTGCAATTTCGAAAAGTTAGCGATCTTCAAGACCCTCACCCCCGCATCACCAGAGTAAGACCCACCGTCACAGGCAATTACGAGGAACTCGTCATCGTCACTGAGATCGTGCACAGTGACGTCGGGATAGGCAGTGACGATCTGCTGCTCAGGAGACAACTCGGGGCTCTTCTTGAACTCGAAGTCACCAATGGCCCGCGACAAGGCCAGGTTGCCGTTGACACGGCCGAAGTCAACGAAACCACCAGCAGCGCTGATACGGGCTTTCTCGCCTGTTTTTATTTGGTCATGTCAGCATCATCAAAACTGGTCGGTAATCGAGATGTGGGGTATGTGTACCTTCATTCTGAGGCTTGTGGTCAAATGACAGAGGCTTTGCGCGACCCTTGACACCCAGTACAGAGCGAGAATCACCAGCATTGGCCTAGAACCAGTCAACGAATGAACCAAACCCAACGTCGTCTCCAAAACGGCCATGGCTAGAATACATACCACCCAGATCTTGTGCTTCGAGATAACGCTGACGGCTGCGGTGCAGCCAGACACTTCCTCCTCATATTTCGGGTCTAGCTGGGTCAGTTCGTTGCTACCTCGGAGGGACAGGAAACAGGAAGGAAAGGGAGAGGCGGGTGGGAAGGTTGCCCCAACTCCGATCATAGCGCTCACGAACCTTCCAAAATAGCCCGGTCGGTAGCGAGGAAGCCATCCTTCAGGGCCTGTTCGATATCACCTTTGGCAAAGGAGTCCTGCTTCGCGACGATCTTGTGGACGTTTTCTCCGGCGAATAATGCTACTTTGTCTCCACCGTGCCCGTCATATACACCAAAGAAAGCGAGTCGTTTATCGGGGTCGGTCGGCTTTTCATCCTGCTCGGAGTACTTGGCCTGGAGGTCGAGGACAGCGGCATGGGCATCCTCCATGCTGATTCGCCATCCTTGCATGGCGGAAACACCGTATATACAGCACTCATCTTGACCTTCAGCGGAAGTCTAGATAGCACCGAATGTGGTTAGTGAGGATGTAGGAAATCGAAAAGAGGTCCGGAACACAATGGAATGGTGACAGGTCATCCGCCCGAAACCGCGTGCAGGAAATTTTCATCATCCTGTGGAGGAACCCCGCAGGGGGGATGATCACCACATTGCAGGCGCGACACACAAGAGGAGGGATGAAAAAGAACGCTGTAGCAAATAAAACTTTTGGGCAGTGATCATGTTGGACAAATGATAGAAAAAGGGAAGTATGGGCGGGTATGGCACAGAATGGCAACGCGGATGGTGGACAGATTGAAATGGCGTAAGATGCGTGCAGTGTGGGGGAGGAGGATCAAAGACCAGACAGGCAAACGCAATGCTTCAGGTTTCACTCACCTTATCGACCACGGGCTCGGACAAGGTCTGACCCATGATTTCTAGTGGATCACAATTAAACTGTTCACGAAGATAAAAGGCCCGTTACAGACATACACACCACCGAGGAGGGGAGGGGAAAAGGATAAGAAAGGGAAAAGGTGGAAAAACCGGCGGATTCTTTTTGGGAGGGGAAGACGAGGGGAGGGGATGGGGAGGGAAGAGGCAGCAGATCAGGTGAAAGGAAGAGATTAGGTTGGCTTTGAGGGCAAGGGCAGAATGACTATTCGGGAGGCGGCAAGCGGGAATGGACCAGCAGAAAAGCCTGAGCAGATCTGATGATGGAGAAAGAGAGAGAGAGAGCGAGAGGGGGGTAATTAGAGGGACCAAAGTGTGTGAGGATTTAGTGTGTCTCCGGAGTGCTGTGGAAGGTTAGTTAAGTTCCGGACTCGGTGGTGTAATAATAATAACAGCACCTAACTAGCTACTAATACGTAGTAGTGGTAGAGGTAGTGTAGTAGCCTGTCTGCCTACCTATCATTCGGGGGAGTGGGGAAAGCCGATTCAACGATGACGATAGCTTTGGAATTGGGTGAGAAGCAGGGTAATATAACAGACAAACAAATAGGACCGACAATTGGGAACACTAAATAATGACACAAGGGACCGAGGGGAGGAACTGGGTTCAAGTTAGGAGAAGATGGTGTCACAGGAAGGGGAAGAGATTTTCTGCACGATAATGAGTAGACTAATGGGCATCAGGCATTATCTGACCATCTGTTAGAGAAAAGAATCAATCACAAGGGCGTCAGCCGCAGGCAGAGACAGCAGGCCGAGCAGGCAGAGAAGCGCACGCATGTACCTCCAGGGTACCTCCACTCCGTTGGGGAGAAAGGTAAGGTACTCTCACGGTACTTCCCCCGTACGGTTACGGCCCTGCTCGCATGCGGCAGGCGGTAGGCCCGAAAAGGGAAGAGCCGGGGATGGAGTCTGCCAGTCGCGTGCCTTTTCCTGGATGCGGCAATTGATATTACAGTAATTGAATAATGACGAAAACCCCTTGGCGTCGGCTGACCCGAACTTTTTCACCCATCAACTCAAGCCACAATTCGAGCTACTTCTCCTCCCCCTACGTCTCTAGTACCTGCTGGAAGATAATAGATGATGTGCCTACTGTTACAGCTCCTGCAAAGGTAGCATCTCTACAGCAGGAAAACTCATTCACTTGCAGATAAACTACGTATTGCCAATTAAAGACCTTCCGGTGGAGCTGACACACTGTAGCTCAGCCCATGTCTAACTTCAAGCAAGAACATCGTCCGTGCCACGATTCCCATTGACTTTCAATGCTTTGTTAGATTGTCAGTTGGTTGGCAAGGTACCGGGGTTCTGGGTTAACTACCAAATGTATGGATTTCTAAAGGACTGGCTCGTGCTAGTATAATGAAAGTCTCAAAACGCGCTACTACTGGGTTATACAGTGGGAGATCTGACCCATGCATCTGGGTACGTGTTCATACATGCAAACTAAGCTGCTCCGGTAAATACCCTCCTGCCGCCTACATTCAACTACAGGCCGTCTATGAGTTCTCTCTATGCCTTGTTTGCTTGCTCTGCTGCTTGCCAGCCAGCCAGCCAGCCAGTTGCCTACTTATTCCCCGACAGTCCAAACCTAAGCAGCTTACTATTTAGCTCTTGCAAGGGACCGGGGCTGTTTAGTTCAATCATGACTATTCGGGACTTATTGGGGACCGAGAAACAGCATTGACCGATTTATGATGAAACGCTGATAATACCCACTGGCCTTGGAGGCCTTTTAGGCAGTCGTTGTGTAGAAAGTGAGTACATAAGCGTAACGGTTGGAGCGTGGTCATGTGGCAGGACGATTTTCTTTAGTCTAGTAGAGTCGCACCTGCTCTGCCTCTTAACTAAGTTACTACTCCATACTTTCACTGCTTTCCTAGTGAAGTCTCTTCCCCAGACCGCTCCTTGGAAGATTCCAGTAGCAAGGCCATTGCGGATTGATACTATCTCACCTGGAGGTTCAACTCTGAAATTGTCACGTCTCACTCCGGACTGGTGTCCATGTTGTCTCTTCTATCCACTAGAAGAGCCTATACCACTACTGCCAGTAAGTCCATCTGCCGCTGTCGCTGTCGCTGCCCTGAGTATCTCCGCTTGTTCTCTCTCTCTCTGAGGACATTCAGGCCTGTTGTCATGCTCTTATATGATCAACCTTGATCACTTGTTCCCCATAAAATGCAGCTGACGTGGCACTAACTGTCATCGACAGCCAGGGGCTGATGGCTAGACCTAGCCCTGGACTTGGAGACAATACACCGTCAGAATGGTTGCTGCAAACAGGATAACTCCTGCCATCCATGGCAGCCCCATCCACACCCCTTCCCAGGCCATCCCTGCTCGAAACAATCCAGCTAGGAGTGGCCCAGATATCATGAGTCCAGCTCCCTGTGTCAGCGTTATGGTCGTATTAAGGAGTCCCACATGCGATGGCCCAACCAAAGCACTCCCGACGCTGCGCAGAGCGGCGTAGAACCCCCCTCCAAAAGCAACCAGAGCAACTCCTACAACGAACACTGCTGGATGAGATGCCACGCACATGAAGACAAAAGCAGCCATCAACAGACATGCGCAGCCTAGCGCCATTCTGATGTCTCTCTGCACGGGTGACAAATATCGGTCGAGGATCTTCGTAGCTATCGGAAGGACGAGCATCAAAGCGAAGCAATTGATTATCCCCTTAACGCATATAAGAAGGCTCGCCTTGGAAATCATATCAGCACACCAAAAGACTTGAAGTACTTGCACATTTTGCCAAGATATCATACCTCTGCTAAGCTCCATGAAAGGCGTTTGGAGACATATTGGAGCATGAAAGGAACTGCTTCGATTCCATAGCTCGAAAAGAAGAATGCGATGGAGATGACCAGGGCACTTGGATACTCGCAGATGAACTCGTGCAGCTGAGCGATCTGTGAGCGGGCAAAGTGTACTACACTTGCCCATGTGAATGCCGATGATCGCTTTGAGTGGCCTGCCGTCTCCGGCTGGACATCATTGACGGTGTTTATTGAGGGCGCTGGTTTAGTCTCCGGCAACCAGAGGATTGCAAACAAGCTACTGATCTCGCAGGCTAGTCCCAGCATCCAAGGTATCCAGGCGTTCGATGACATCATCCAGGCACTTAAGGGAACAGCAACAATTTCTGACAGTAGTATACTTGCCGACAAGATGAAATAGGCATTCGAACTGGAAGGGGCCCTTGATTAGTGAAGGGACTGTGAACAGGATTGGCCAGATTTTAGTACCGTTTCTCTATAGGAAAAACATCCGCGATGATGGTGAAAGCCACGGAGGTAGTTATCTGAGAACCACCACCAAGAATCTGAAATATTGGTGTAAACCAAATTGCTCGTGGTGGGATGGTCGCATGATACCAGGCTTTTATATCGGAGTTAGCCTGTCCCTTCACATCGCAAGGCAAGCTTTACTTACCGATAACTCTGATCGCCATCTCCTCCAAGACAGCCCCAGCCAGGCTCAGAAATAGGACTGGTATACGACCAACGCGGTCTGCCATGAGTCCATATGGAAGTGCCAGAACAATGCTTGGAAGCTGGTCAAAGGTGCTCATCCAACCTTTGAGCAATGCTAGCTCACCCTGCACATCAGCAGCCTTACAAGCCGAAGGAGATACTGAAGGGAGACCCCTTCCGGGGGTGCTATCAAAGACCTCCGGATGCAAGCGCTGGCAGATGTTCAACTCGTATATCTGAAGTTGGGGAGCAACGGAGATGTAGTTGCCGATATCGACAGTGACTGCTATGAGGCACGCAAGGAATAAGACCCGCTGGGCTCTACGCGTAACACTTTTTGGCTGTACAGGGGATTCATTGTGCCCAGATAAAAGAGAAGTTGTTTCAGAAGGTGTCTCTGGTTGATCAGAAGCAATGGTCATGATGAAGGAATCCTAGGCTTGAGTTGAATAGGAATGCCCCAAACTCAAAGGGCCAAGAGGCTGAGGGAAGAAATAAGAACCCCCTCCGCCTGAGAGATGACGATGAGAATGGGCTTTGATAAGCCTCGTTCCCCAAATGACGCTAAAGGCAACGGCCATCACGCTGGCCAAAGGATCCGACCTACCTTAGTAGGGGCTAGATGGATCGGTCGGCGACACATGGGCGCTTTTCCGGCGTCCGATAAGCGGGAACGAGGGTTTACCGCTGTTTACTGGCCCATTGTTGTGGTGGCCTAATGCAAGTGATATATTAACTGGATTGATTATTTAGCTAAACACTACTGGGCACTAGGCGCAGAACCGTCCAACGGTTCGAGGGTCAACAAAGAAACCAAATTCAGAATCCATGGATATCACGCTCGCCGAACACTTTTCAAAACGACCTGGTTGACAGTGAAGCAAAACCCTAAAACAAATATGAACATAAATACTGAGCATTGCGATTGTCACTCCATTCACAAGAAGCCTGCGTTGTTTCTCGAGCTTCCTGCCGGTTCCCTTTGCATACTGTGCAATTCTTCCCATTCCCGCTCCACGGCCCGGTTCAAGCTCACTCGGCGTGATTTGGAATCGAAGGGGATAGAGTAAAGTGAAGGGCTTTTCCGTGACGCCTGGCCGGCGCCAGCTATGTCTCCGTGCGTGTAGAAGCCGGTCTGATACCAAGGGCGTGAGCTCCCGCCGAGCTGCCGCTCAGTGGGCGGATCATTCTCTTTCCCCAATCCCGCTCCTTCGAATCGTTTCGGCTCATCCAAGCTCACTTCGCTGTAGAACCGAGGCAGAGGCGCGATCGTCTCAGAATAATTTTGAGCCAGGCTCGATTGGCTGGGCAATTTGCCCACCGGGCGGGGTGGCCCCATGTCTGAAGATTCTTCGGACAGGCTATGTAAATAAGCCGACTGACGATGGTCATCCGTGTAAATGGAGGCAGACATGGCTGTCGACCACGGCCGCTCATGGATCGAGTTCCGATATTCCTCAATGTAGTTGGAACTGGCTACTGTATCGGCCCGACTCGCTGTGCTTCGAGCTCTTTCTAGGGCCCGACAGCCCGATGATGCTCGACGGCCGAACTGACCTGCGAATAGCGGGTTGGACGAATTCCGACTTTTTGCGCGGCTGTGAAGAAATGCCTCTAGAGAGTCCGCTTCAGAGATGGTCGAGTCGTCAGGTTCCACTGTTCGAAGGCTCATTCGTTTGGAATAATCCCCACTCTCTCTCGTTCGAGGTGGCGGTCGTGGAAACAGCGGTGCTAGGTTTCCTACGTCACTCTCATCACTTCCGAACGAAGCCTGTGTGTTCTGCCAGGAAAGACGGACTACGCCATGTCCTGGAGGTCCAAAACCGCCGGCTCCATGTCCGGCACCACTGAGTCGGACTGGAAGCCCGGATGCTACTGTTGATATGCCACTCGACCGTTTGGAATATCTGCGCGATCGGGTAGTCGAATTCCGCTTTAGGGACCTCCTAGGCTGAATGGGCCGAAGGGGCTCTCGCCTCCTGGAACTAGTTGTGGTTGTTCTTCGGTGTAAGGGGGGGCTGTTCTGGAAAGACAGGCGTTTCGGCTGTGCGGGTGCGTCTTCCACTGGTTTGGCCTCTTCGGGTTCGGGTCCCTTGAGAGAAGCGAAACCTCCCCAATCGAATGTAGGATCGGAAAGGGTGTTTTCTTTGCCGGCTGCGTCTGGGGCTTGCTCGTTGCCTTTCGACGGGCTTGAATGCCATAATGGTAGCTCCAGTTTTGGGGGCTCAGATGATTGTGAAGGAATCCTGAGAATTCTCGGAGGCTCGCCATGGGCAGTTTCCTCAAAAGGCCGACCATGCGCAATACCTTCGCCATCTGGCTGAGTCGATAGCGTTTTCTCGGCTTCCTGTCCATCTTGAGGTTTCTTTGTGGCTGCTTTACGCTTGTGCCGCCAGCAGCAGAACAGAAGAAGGGCAGTGCTCAAAAACACAAACGGAACAACGACGGCGATAGCAATAATACCGGCCTTGCCTCCGCGAATGCTGTTCTTTGCATCGGAGGCTGTAGAGTTGGCTGTGCCTGGTCCATTTGTGGTCCCTTCCGACATCGCCTTGATTGTTAATTGCCGAGTGTCCTCTGCGGTACCCTCCCGGGCAGTGAGATTGATATGATAGCTTCCCGGACTGATGTCGGAGGGAACTTGTCCAAAGATCGTCTTGTTGTCACGATTGTAATGGAGCCAGGGAAGATCTTGCCCGAAGTCAACGTCTACCTGGACAGAATCGTTGGCCAAGACAGAGTCGTCAAGGACCAGCATAAAGAACTGCCCGATGATAGCATCGCATACATTTTGATCATTGCGAAAGAATTGAGTGAACTGTAGACTGACGATCAGCGTGGCTACGTCTTGAAATCTATCCGTCACGGTAATCGTGACATTGTTATCGGCGGCGTCTGAAGGGGGAGTGCCGCTCAGAGAAATAGTCTCCTCATCTAGAGACAACCAGTCTGGCGAATCCACCTTAATGTCGGCCAGATCTTTCTTCGTCGTTTCATGTCCATCTAGGGTGAGATTGCTGACAAACTGCGGACTAGTGAACGGCCGTTCTTTTGAGAGGAAGAATGTCTGGGTGCTCCGATTGAACGCCAAGATATGTGGGCTGATGGTCATCTCAAAGGTCATGGTAGCCGCGCTGAACCCAGTCACGTCCGAGGCTATCAGATTGAAGCTGAAGGTTTGAGGTCCACTAGCCGGTGTCGTGCCGGAAAAGCTGAGTGATGCCGGATCGAAAACAATCCACGAGGGTAGCGGTGCGTTGTCCGGAGATGTGCCATAGTAGGCCGTTGATGGGCGCGTGTTGGTGAACGTGTCCGGCCCAAAGGATAATGAGAAAGAGTCGCCAGTGTGTAGGAGGATGGTGTCTGGGGCGGAGGTTGGCCCCATTTCTTCGAGTTGTGAGAACAGCGGCTTTCCCGGTTGCGGTCCGTCGTCTGTTGTTACAATTAATGTGACTTGCATGTCCGCAGATTCCGAGCCATCTGAGGCCACCAGATCGAACGTCGGTGATCCTTGATCATCTTTCTGCGGTGTTCCGGATAGCGTACGGGATTGGCTGTCGACTTCGAGCCATGATGGCGCGTTTGAAAGCGAATAATGTGTGTTATCATCGCTGCCAGCAAAGGTACCCTGCGAGAAAACAAATTCGAATGGCTTCGATACCCGGGCTACCGGAGGTAGCTGTGCGTTAACAGGGTAGCTGGCCTGCAGACCTGCAACAACAGTCACCAGGATGCTGAGGAGAGCCAACGCAAAGAGCGCCATATCTCCTGAGCAAATGGAACGGTCCTGGCAAGTATTCGATAGACGTTCCTATAAATCTCTCAGACGTATCATCCAAGCACAGCTTGAAGTAAGATCTAGACCGGTATGAATCTGAAAAGGAAGAGAGAGGAGAAAAGAGACGAAAGAGATAGAAGGTGGCAGCTGAAAGAGCAAAAGTGGCGGAACAGCCTGCCCTTAGGGCAAAGAGTATGCTCCCAAGGGCCTCCGCGCCCAAGGGCCCATTGGGCACAGGAGAGGCGCGAAGCGTGTGACCCCTTCTACAGAGCCATACCTGGATATGTTTGACGTCACTGAAGTATGGGAATGGTTAGAGATGGATGGTTCGCGGCGCGGGAGTTCAAGCTCACGTTGCGAATGCACGCGCCTGCAAGGGATGGCTTGCAGGAGTCCACACAGGAGCATAGCCGACCCAACCCCTCCCTCTCAGTAGCGTTCGTATTTCCCGAAGGCTTAAGGGAGGATATTTGACAGGCAAAGCCACCCTAGTTTCCAGCCAAAAGTACCAAGGAGGAGTCCAGTGGTTCCTTTCCACCGCGTGAGGCGGAGGGGTAGGGAGAACAGGCCTGTCTATCGAGGGGCCAAAGGCCATGCTTAGGCGCGACAGGGGCGGGTACAGGGCCCACGCTACAGCTAGAGATCGAGAACCATCTTGATCCCCGTACGCCCTGGCGCATAGTAGTCCGGGATCTCGTCACGCTCCTTGAAGCCATTGCGGACGTATAGGGATCTAGCAGGAGAGCGGGCTTTGTCAACCCATAGCTGAATCTGCTGACACCCCTCGCTCTGTAGACGAGCTCGAATATAGTTCATGAGCCGCATCCCGACACCCTGGCGGCGATAGGCTTCACCAACACAAACTTTGTGCAGCAGGGCAATTCCCTTCTGGCGGACGTAGACGGCATAGGCCAGCAAGGTTGGGCGGACATCACCCGGAGCCGATGGTGCACGGGTCACATACAGGACCTTCGTGTTGGGCTTCTTGCGCCAGAGTTCCTCACCGAAACTGAATGCCTCGTTAGCGGGGAAGGTCTTTTTCTCGACGCGCGAAATCTGGGCAAGAATCTCCAGGGCCTGGTCTTTCTTCAAGGAATGGATGTCTGAGATGGTCAGACTGGGAGTCAGATCCGCTGGCGGCATTCCGGAGAGCCCCTCCAGGATCTACATTCACGATCGTTTGGAGGATGGGGAGTTGACAGGGGAGGTTCCACAATTCTCCCGGATCATGAAGGATAGTTCAATAGAGAGTTCTCTTCTGATTCAGTAGATGCCCAATATCGCGTGAGGGTTCAATGGCTCTCAAATCAATCCATTATTTGCCCGAGTTGCAAAGAAAGTAACTGGAAGGGTTTTTAGTAGAGGGAAAACCAATCACAGATACTCCTCCTCTCCCGTCTGGGTATAGTGCATAAAAACACTTGTCATCGCATTACCAAACTGACAATACAACGTTACATCTGGGTATTTGAGTAATATTGAGTTGGAAGATAGGAATACCTTCAACTATCTACACTCCAGTCTACTACCATCTGTGTTTTCAGTTCTATCTATAGCTTATACTCTACACACAAATACACTTTCCAGCATTCTATCTAGCGTTTCATCCTCTGTTCTTTTCTCTCACCTCTCTCTGACCATTCAAACATTCAATCAAAGACTTGACTCTCCCTCCCCGAAAATGCCCTCCCAAGCCGACGACAAACGCCAGGCCGCCCGCGAAGTTATTGACATTCTTCACGAGATTTCCACCCTTCTTGTACGTGACAATCCCCTCCTCCCCCGAGTTTCCTTTCATTCTTGTACCTGGCTTTTCTTTCTTTTGTTCTTCTATTATTGTTGTATTTTCACAAGCTTTTGCTTTCATCTACTGCGACCATCTTCATCTTACCTACCACCAACATGCCACACAGGATTAGACCTCCTGGGATCTAGTCGTGTCTGGTCTAGTCTGGTTCTCTGGTGTCATATCATCTGACAAGACACATACACACTTGGTCAACGAACTGACCGGGCTAATTAACTAATTATATTCAACCCCTCTAGAACACTAATTTAGACCGCACGGAGCTGTCGCTTTGTGTGTCCTTGATTGAGAATGGGGTCAATCCGGATGCTCTCGCTGTGAGTTCTTGCTCATCTATCATGTGCTATGCCTTTACTTTGTTCCGGGAGGTTCTGGAAGCTGACGCTGTCTATCAGGCGGTCATTAAGGATCTAAGAAAAGAAGCTGGTGCGTCGCGCGGGTTCGCGACTGAGCAGCAGCAGGGTTTGCCGGAGTGAATTCTTTTTGGGGGTTGAGGTTGTGTGTTTAGTGCTCTAGGTATCTATGGCGTTTTCTGCTTTCTTTTCGTTTGGTTTTCCTTGTGATACCCGTTTTTCCCTATTAGATTGGAATATGATGGATTCTGCAATCTACTACTAATGGTGGTATTATTCATCGTATTCATGAAATCCTCGTTGGGGATTGAACGGTTTCTGGGACTTCCCACTAGTGCAGTCTTTGGTATCATTAACGTCGGCCATAGGGCCATTATCAGGGTAATGGTATGAAGAATACATGTAGCAGACAGGCGCTAGGGATGAAACGGCATGTGTCGGGGAGAAGGCAAAAAGGAAAACTCTCATAATTATTAATCGATTACTGAACAAGTCCTACGACTTGCCAGCATTCTCGGCCTTGCTGCTGTCTTTCGACGCTTCGCTGGCCGGCCCAGCCTCAGCTGTGCTCTGCTCCTTAGTCTTGGCTTCCTTTTCTTTCTCATCGTCACTGTCCCCAAGACTGAACGGGTCATGTTCCCCGACCGGCGAAGGGTCAACAGTCGACAGAGGTTGCCACTTGCTCGACTTGCCTGTCGCGGGAGACGTACGTCTGACGGGCTCAGAGGCATCGTAGAGGTTGTCAATCTCGGTAGGTGGTCCCTCCTGGAAGGAGACCTTGCGTCGATCAGGGGAAGATGAAGAGGTTTTGAAAAGATCGGGATTGGCGAGAGGGCGCGGGGGGCGCGGAGGAGGAGCTGCGAACGGAGGTTAGCATTCGCTAGCGAATTTGATGCATGATCAGGGTCTGATCGGGGTAACCGTACCTTCCGCATCTCTCAGTTCAAGTGAGGAAAAGTCGTCGTTCAGGATGCGATGATCGGCATCGTAGCGTTCGCGATCGCCGCTCCGACGACCTAGGTCCCCGCTCCGTCTAGGTCTACCATAGTTCTCATCGGGCTGGCCTTGACCAGAAGGTCCGGCCTCAGGTGTTTCGCCATCGAGGCGTTTCTTCAGATTCTGGACCCACGAGTTGACCTTCGTCTGGGTATCCAAGAATCCTTTGCGAAGGTTCTCACGGATCACAGGGAGATCATCTATACAGGCCATCATTTAGCAACCAAGATGACGTAGAAAAGATCCATATCACTGACCATCGAAAAAGCTGTATTCTTTTTCCTCCGATCCATCGCTTCCTCTTCGTGGCCGCTGCTGTGGGTACTCGTTGTCCCAACGGGGTTGGCGCGCAGGACGGTTGTAGTGCTCGGCCAGCTGACGGGCATACATCTCATCTGCTTCTAGCTGCCTCTGCGCAGCAGTTGGGCGTGGTGGCTTCGGGGGCGGCGCATCTTGTTCGACAGCACTGGGATCCGTCATGCCTAGAGGGACTTGTTAGTGACCGCGCATAGCAGTGCTTTCCGTCGCAGTTCACACGTACTAAGCAAAGCATGGAATGACCGTTCCACATCCCAGTTACTGGCCACCAACACTGCTTTGATCACCGATGCCTCGATAGAGGGGAATGCTTCCTTGAGGGTATTCTCGGCCTCTTGCCGGGGGCTCAATGGGCGGGGTGGCTTAGGCGGGGCAGCTTCCGCAGCGCCCTGCTGAGCAGGGGCTGTTGACGGTGCTGCAGTGACACCGGTTTCCTGAGGTTCATCATCAAAATCTAGAGGGCGCGCGGTAGTCGGCGACTCGGGTTTGGGACTGAGTGGTCCAGTGGAGAGTTTATTGGGGGTCTGGCTGCTAGTGAGTGGCCGGCATGAGGTATAAGGAGCGGATATAGAGGACAACCTACAGTCTTGTCTTCTTCCGACATCGTGAGAGCAACTTAGGCAGCGTTGGAATCGCAAACTTGCTATCTAGAAGGTGGAGAAGAATGCCAAGGTTTCGCAGGCCCTGAGGGTATTTATGCGACCAGGAAATTTGCCCAACAGGCAGAAAGCAAGCTGGGGATGATGCGATTGGAGCTTCGGAGCCTCTCAGCCCCCTTCGCACTTCCGATGCCCGCGGAGTGACGTTGCGCCACGTGATAGTCCCGTGCTTAGGTAAGCACTGCTGCAGGTGCTCCAACAATATCTACTTCGTCGAGTAGAATCTGGATACAATTCTGGCGGTGCAAGGCTTGCCCAGCCGACCCGGAAATTGCTATAACAATATGTTTCGCTGGGGTCTTTCAATGTACTCATAGCTTGCCTCTAGTTGGAACACTGGTGCTGCAAATCACCTCCTAGTTCCATTCTCACTTAAGGCCCAATCGCAATGGCTTCCGAGCTGGATCTGTCCACCAGCTTTATCCCGGCTCTATACAAGCCGGCCGCATTGCTTCCAATCGCAAGACACAAGCAGAGTTTATTGTACCTGGTTGAGACGTATCCGGTGACCATCGTTGTTGGACAAACAGGAAGTGGGAAAACGACCCAACTACCCCAGTATCTCGACCAAGCAGGGTGGTGTGCAGATGGAAAGGCTATAGCAGTGACACAGGTATGCCTTTCCCTTCTGACTGACTCGGATGCAAGAAGAAAAGCTAATATCGCCCAGCCACGTCGGGTGGCTGCTACCACAGTGGCAGCTAGGGTAGCTGAGGAAATGCGCTGCAAGCTCGGCGAAGACGTGGGCTACTCGATTCGTTTTGAGGACTTGACCTCGGCTTCCACCAGGATAAAGTTCCTTACAGATGGAATGTTGCTTAGGGAGGCACTCGTAGATCCTCTGCTGTCACGGTACTCTGTTATCATGGTGGATGAAGCTCATGAGCGATCCCTCAGTACCGATATCCTCCTAGGTATCCTGAAAAAGATCATGAAACGACGGCCGGAGCTTAGGATTGTGGTCAGTAGCGCAACCTTGCAAGCAGAAGATTTTCTGCGATTCTTCGCTGGCGAGGAATTTGACAGCAGTCCGGAATCCGGTGAAATTGGTGGCAAGGTGGGAAGGATCATCAGTTTGGAAGGTCGCATGTATCCGGTGGACATGCTCTTTCTCGAGAACCCTGCAGAAGATTATGTCGAGCGCGCAGTCAGAACCGTGTTCGACATCCATCTTCAAGAGGCGGAAGGCGATATTCTGGTGTTTTTGACTGGCCGGGAGGAGATTGACACTACGGTGCAGATGATTGCCGAACGTGCCGCAACACTGCATCCCAAGGCACAGAGTATACTTCCGTTACCACTTTACTCTGGTCTAACAACAGATCAGCAAATGTACGTGTTTGAACCGACACCAGAGAACACCCGCAAAGTCATCGTGTCGACCAACATCGCCGAAGCATCTGTTACTATTAACGGGATTGTGTATGTCATCGACTGCGGCTTCGCCAAATTAAGAGCTTATAACCCCCAGACCGGCATAGAAACACTGACCGCAGTGCCCATATCAAAAGCAGCGGCTGTTCAGCGTGCTGGCCGAGCTGGGCGTACCAAACCCGGGAAGTGCTTCCGCCTCTACACGCAGCAGGCCTATGAGCAACTTCCAGAGGCCACCGTTCCGGAGATTCAGCGGTCAAACCTAGCGCCTGTAATCATGCAGCTCAAGGCTTTGGGTATCGACAACATCGTCCGATTCGACTTTTTGACCTCCCCTCCTACAGAGCTTGTTATTCGCGCATTCGAGCTGCTGTACTCTCTGGGGGCAGTTGACGACTATGCCAAACTCACAAAGCCCCATGGGATGCGGATGGCAGAGCTGGCAGTCGATCCCATGATGGCAAAGGTGCTGCTATCAGCGCCATCTTTTAACTGTCTAAGCGAGATCCTCTCTATTGCCGCCATGGTGAGTCTTCAAGGGACCGTATGGGTCCAGCATGAAGGCGACAGAAAGTCATCGGAGAGCCACCGCAGAAAGTTCGCAGTCGAAGAGGGTGATCATTTAACGTATCTTAACGTGTATCAAGCGTTCATCACCAAAGGAAAGAAGGACTCCAAGTGGTGTCGGGACAATCTCCTAAACTTTCGATCTTTGCAACGGGCTGTGAGCATTCGCGCCCAGTTGAAGCGATATCTGGAGCGCTTTGGAATCCAAGTCGATGAGACTCTCTCTGCAAGGTCTCGGCAAGAAGACCCAAGTAAGCTTGCGGAACAGATTCGTAGGTGCCTTACTACGGGCTATTTCGCACACGCTGCGAAGATGCAGCCCGATGGCACCTTTAAGACGGTGAGCGGAGGCCTGACTCTCCATGCTCACCCGAGTTCATTGATGTTTGTATGTTGGCAATCTAGGATTTGTAGTATCTTTGCGATCATTTGCTAATTGGACTACTGTATAGAATCGGAAAGCCGACTGGGTCATCTTCCATGAGATCTTACAGACCGGCGAGAAGACCTTCATCCGCGATGTGACTAAAATCGAGAAGAATTACCTCCTCGAATATGCCCCAAACTGTTACCAGGTTTATTAAGCTCTAGGAGATAGAGAGTATCTTGATGGGATCCATTTGATGGCGAATCCACTAGCGATTCTTATTGACGACATGCACTGCCTGTACTATACCCGCCAGCGTTGACCTCTATAGAATGATAGAGATCCAGATTCTTTCTTTCTGCTTTAGTCATAAATATAATATATACCAGTAAACTTCGCTATTCCAGCAGACCACAAGCAGTAACAAATAATTACAGATGTAGAGGGTACAGGGGTGGTGAATGAAAGGAGTCCTCGGCTGCCTGGATCAAGATGTGCATCATTTCACAGCTGCCAGACGGGCCTTTCGCCGAAGAACAACAACGCTGGCTCATCTTTCTCTCTTTCGACTGGAAAGTCAACCATCCTTCCAACCTCGGACATACTGCAGCCCACAAATTTGCAATCCTCCATAAATCAGATACTTGACTGAATTTGGATCAGCTTTTTCTAGATCCCCAAGTTGATCATGTCAGGTCATCACCATCATCACGATCATGGCGGCCATTGCCACGGAGAAGATGGCCATGATCACTCCAACGACATCACCCCTGCCATCCAATCCCTCCTCTACTCCCAAATCCAATTTGATGCGATCACTACATTGAACGGTAGGCAACCCCCGAGGGAACCCCTTCTGCATGTGGTACTGTACCTGCTAACTGGAGTCCTACCTGCAGAGGCCAGTCCCAAGTCTGGCGCCGCGATTGTGAAAAAGACATGGTCTGAAAGACTGAACGATGAACCGGAGCTGGAAAGCGACGCGGATGAACAGTTGCTGATGTATATTCCGTATGTTATCCACCCCATTTTCTGTTGTGGGTTTCGATCGGATTTGCTGTTTGTGATATGGTTTTTACCCCGCCAAATGCCCCTCATCTCAAGTTCCATGTCACGGATTCAATATGCACCATACTATTGCACGACAACCGCACTGATTATCCACTAACCAACCATTTAACTTCTAGATTCACCGGCCAAGTCAAAGTCCACTCCCTCCTCATCTACACTGCCCCCTCCCCATCCGCCCCGAAGACCCTAAAGCTATTCAAGAACCGCGACGACCTGGACTTCGGAACAGCCTCGGACCTAAAGCCCACGCAGACAGTCGAAATACCCCAACCTGTGCCGGGTGCAGATGTTTTCGAGTTGCCGCTGAACCGGGCACATTGGAACGCGACTACTTCCATCACTCTCTTCTTCGAGGATAATTGGAGCGATGGGGAAGAAGACGTCACCAAGGTCGGGTATATTGGTTTCAAGGGACAGTTCATGGCATTGAATAGGGAGCCGATCAGTTTCTTGTATGAGGCGGCTGCGAACCCAGGTGATCATGTTGCTATTCAGGGTGTGAATGGAGTGGGGAGCAGGATTCTGTGAGCGGAGGTGATAAGGGATAGGATTTCAGTGTTTGTTCGAACATGGATGGTCAAATGCTGGCCTGGGATGTACGAGGTCTGTGAGAGACTGAAATGGATGATCGGAAACTACGGGTACTGCCTTGGGTATTGAGCTGGGCTCTATCAAGATAATGCACGCCAATCCATGTTTCAACGATCTAGTTGCTAGCATTCAAATAGCGAAACATATCTAACAATGCTATACTATACTTGAAAGTCCTGAAACCACCAACGCCGGCAATGCTAAAGTCATATAAAGAGATCATATGGATGGCAGTCTCAAGCAGGAATCGCCGTCCGCTCCTCGACGTGGGCCTCTTCTTCCACCGCATGCTCGTCCTCCTTGACTCCCCCCACATGCTCTGGGAGTGTAGAGCTGGGCGCATTTGGCAGGACAACCGGACCCTGCGTATCCCGCTGCAAAGCCTCGAGTTCCTCTTCGACCTCATCCTCATCCTGAGTGGACAAGCGTCCAGCAAGCATCTCGCTGATTTCCTGTACAAACCACCACCGACTCGTCAGCATCCAATCCAGAATACCCTTCTCAGATAACCATTGACAATAAGCTCTTGCCTCTTGATAAGCTCTCGCTTCCTCCGTCTCGCCCATCAGCTTCTCGACCCCCTCAAGACCACCCATTTCCTTGTTAATGGTCTGCAGAACCTTGGTCCCTTGCTGCAAGCCGAACAGAACATCCTTCTGAACCAGTGCAAACTCAATCTGACCCGTAAGCTGTTCGAGCTGCTCGAGTTGTTTGTCGGTCTTGTCGAGCAGCGACTCCTGGTACTTCTTGCGACGCAGGGCAAGCAGGGCGCGCTTGCGGTCATCCCGGGCGAGACATTGTTTCGCAATTTCAAGTTCGCGGTCTGTCAAGACAGTAATCCGCTTCTGATACTGGTGAAGTTTGTCTCGCTGGTTCTTGAGGTCGAGGATTGCCCTGAGCGTTACGAGCGTTAGTTTATCGGTCGGAGACGGGGGGATGGGGCTCGTGACCCGTGCCAAACGGCCCTGATGGAGACAGCAACAGGGCGAAACACATTGGAATGATATGGATAGGCTCACCGGTCCTGAGCAGAGATCTTGTGGGTGCTATTTGTGTTTCCCATTGTCAGCGCATGTTGCTTTGTTTCCGAGGATGCTTGAGGGGAAGCAGTCAGAAACCGGCGAAGATGGATGAAAGATAGTATGTGCAGTGAGTGAGTCCACCGCAGATGACGTCCGTTATCGTCCTATTACCACATCGGGACTAGTGTAATATTCTCGGAAATCTGCCGGTGTTTTCAGATGAATTTGGGGCTCTCCGCCGGTGCATCAATTCTCCGGGTCTCTAAAATTGTGGGAATTCATCGCCAGCGGGGATCTTTATCACCCCCGATTATCGCATTTATAGCCCCGGCTTTGATTCAAGATGCGTCGTGGTGGCAGGCCGACGCTGAGGCAGGGCCTCGACAAGGATGTAAGTGCTGCGACTCGTCCCTCGGCTTATATCAATGCGATCATCGCTAACTCGCTATCCACAGATCTACCAGGTCGTGCGCAAAATCATCGACGACAATGCAGAGAATGCTCAATTCCGTCTTTCGGTGTCTAGCATTTACGATACCATCAAGCGGTCCAATTCCAGCCTGAACAGGAAGCCGAAGCGTATTCTCGAAGACAGCATCGAGCGCGTGGTGGAAGTGCTGAAAGCCGACGTCCTCGGAGAAGATGAGAACGACTCCATAGACGGCGACTTTGAGGGCCTGGAGGAGCAACCGGCACCGGTATGCGACATCGCGCGCCGCTTCATGGGATAAATGTCTTCAGAAGCAGCTTCAAACCTGGCTAGCAATTGGGAGGTAGCTGACGGGAGCAGGAATCCAACAGCCTCAACAAGAGCCTGGTTGGTATGTGGAATACAACCAACACCTCGAAGCCCTCGAAACAGAGCGAATCCAACACTGCCGAGTCAACAGCACCACCTACTACCTCTACGAAGAAACGGCACCATGGTGGTGAATCGCAGTCCTCCAAGCGCCGCAAGGCCGAGGCCGCAGTCGACCGTTCTCCTCCCACACATGTCAGTCTGGCCGATCTGGGTGGATTGGACGATGTGGTGCAGGAGCTCGGGGATCTCGTCATCCTGCCCATGACGCGCCCGCAAGTCTACATGTCGTCCAATGTCCAGCCTCCTCGCGGTGTTCTGCTACATGGTCCGCCAGGTTGCGGTAAAACCATGATCGCAAACGCATTCGCCGCCGAACTGGGCGTCCCCTTCATCTCCATATCCGCCCCATCCGTCATCTCCGGCATGTCAGGAGAGTCCGAAAAGGCTCTCCGAGAATACTTCGAAGAAGCCAAGCGCATCGCGCCCTGCTTAATATTCATCGACGAAATCGACGCCATCACCCCCAAGCGTGAAAGCGCCCAACGAGAAATGGAGAAGCGCATCGTCGCTCAACTCCTTACCTGCATGGACGATCTGGCCCTCGAAAAGACCGACGGAAAGCCCGTTATCGTCCTGGCGGCCACTAACCGTCCCGACAGCTTGGACGCTGCTCTGCGTCGCGGAGGCCGTTTCGACAAGGAAATCAACATGACCGTCCCCTCGGAGCCCGTCCGTGAGCAGATCCTGCGCGCCCTAACCCGCAAGATGCGTCTCGCTGACGACCTCGACTTCAAAACCCTCGCCAAGCGCACCCCCGGATTCGTCGGCGCTGATCTGAACGACCTCGTCGCCACCGCCGGCGCTGCCGCCATCAAACGCTACCTGGAACTCCTCAAATCCAACAGCGGCGAGGAAATGGAAATGGAGATTGAAGGCGAAGCCGACATCATCAGCCCTAAAGTCAAAGAACTCCGCCGCCTCATCACCCACGCCAAAGAAACCCCCATCGGCGACGAAACTCAAACCGTCCTCGTCTCCAACGCCGACTTCTTTACAGCCCTCCCTAAGATCCAGCCCTCCTCCAAGCGCGAAGGCTTCGCCACCATTCCCGATACTACCTGGGCCGACATCGGCGCCCTCGGCGGCATCCGCGACGAACTGTCCACCGCCATCGTCGAACCCATCAAGAACCCCGAAATCTACGCCAATGTCGGCATCACCGCGCCCACCGGCGTCCTTCTCTGGGGTCCCCCCGGTTGCGGTAAAACACTCCTCGCCAAAGCCGTGGCCAACGAGTCCCGCGCCAACTTCATCAGCGTCAAGGGTCCTGAACTCCTCAACAAATTCGTCGGTGAATCCGAACGCGCCGTCCGCCAGGTCTTCGTCCGCGCCCGCTCCTCCGTCCCTTGCGTCATCTTCTTTGATGAACTCGACGCCCTCGTCCCCCGTCGTGACGATACCCTCTCTGAAGCCTCCGCCCGTGTCGTCAACACCCTCCTCACTGAACTCGACGGCCTCGGCAGCAGCCGTCAAGGCCTCTACGTCATCGCGGCCACTAACCGGCCCGATATCATCGACCCGGCTATGCTGCGCCCCGGTCGTCTGGAGACCCTTCTCTTCGTTAACTTGCCCAGTCCGCTCGAGCGTGTCGAGATCCTGCAGACCCTCGTCAGGAACTTGCCTATCGAGTTCAATGAGGATCTGCGCAGACTCGCCGAGGAGTGCGAGGGCTTCAGTGGTGCTGATTTGGGTAGTTTGCTTCGTCGCGCCGGTTACTCGGCTATTAAGAGACGTGACAGCATCAAGTTCGAGGACTTTGTCGCTGCCAAGGCGTTTATTCGGCCTAGTGTTACGGATTTGAAAAAGTATGAGAAGTTGAGGAGGGATTGGAGTGGTGGCGTGGTGTAATTAATAATGATTAGAGTATTGGTTGGTGTGTGTGTATATACATCGATGTACTTTGGAATTGTTTCGTTTACTATTTCTCTTCTGTGTGGTTCTGTCATTGTGTGCATATATAGAGTGTGGATGGGGTCAAAAAGTCATTTGAATCGTTTGGCTGCGAGGGTAGGATATAGGTGGATTGATTGACTGATGAATAATGATAGATCTTTTTGATGGATGTTCAATTGACACGGCCACTGGTTACTTCACTACTCAGTACTAAAGTACTACTGGCATGAACTACGACAGCAAACAGCCCAATGAAGGAGTGAATGAACTTTTGGATATCAGAAACTCTAAATTTAGTTATGCACACACCAAAACGCCTCCCATGTAAAATTGAACAGGATACACACAAGGAAGACCAATTATAATTACATCCATAACCGGCAGGTTCCATCCGCACCGGCACTGACACACCAGGCTTCGCGCGGGTGCCAGTCAAGATCCATGACACCGAGCTCGCCGGTGATCTTGTGGCCCTTAAGAACCTTGAGGGGCACAATGCTGGCATTGCTGAGCATGTCACCCGTGACACTGCCGTGGAAGATCTGGAGCGAGCCGTCGTCACTGGCATCCGCGAACAGAGGGTAGCGGCCACTGGGGTGGAACTTGACGGCACGAATGGCCTTGCGGTGGTAACGGAGAGTCTTGTAGGGGCGCTGGGAGAGTTCGAGATCATGCCACAGCAGACGGCGGTCGTAGGATCCGACAATGAGGTTGTCTCCTCCCGAAGCGGTGGAGGAGGTCGGGTGGATGTCGAAGGAGGAGATCCAGCGGGCACCGGGCTGAATGATCTTGACGAGCAGTTGGCGGGAGAGATCGTAAGCACGAACGGTGCGCTGGTTGGCGACGAAGAGGATGGGCTTCGAGGGGTGGAAGTGCGCGGTCTGGGGCGGGCCACCACCCTTGATGCGTCGGCTGAAGGGGTACTGGGTCAAGTGCTTGGAAAGAGTGTGGATGGCAATGGCCATGGATGCCGGGGTAGAAGAGCCCGGGCAGACGGTAACAAAGTAGTCACCGCGGCGATGCCACGAGATAGACTTGGCCACGTAGCGGAGGGGAATGACGGCGCACACGCCATTGTCGGCGAGAGCGGCCGAGGGACGCACCCACTGGGGAGGCGTGGTCTTCTTGCCTTCTTCCGAGGCCTTCGGGGCAGGCTTCGA